AACATGTCGTTCGGCGATCATAAAGAGTTTTGGCAAGAATTTATCCTGCTGTTTAAAGAGAAAACTAAAGAGAAACAGGTGGTTTACAGGACTGAATGCATTGCAGAAATTTTAAATGAGTATATTTTGTTCGTTGTTACAGCCATTCCTTTGTTCAGCCGCTCTTTTTCTTTTTATTCTCCGTTAAAAGTATTGCACCGACTACTAAAGCGACTTTTGTGCATTTGGAAAGCACCGGTGGCATGGTAGGGTAGGGAAGAACGATACGCGCGAGGCTCACCAAAGTACACAAGCGACTGGACTGCAACTCGGCGCTCGTGTAGTGTGTGGGCAATGACGGATTTGTCCACGGATGGGTACGGCTCGGGGTTCGGCTCGCGGTGCGTGTAGTGAATGGTGGGCTTTAGTCAGTAAGAGTTGTCATTAGCGTGACTCGTTGGGAACAAACGTTATCCTCACAGACTATTTAGATGTTATCCTGCAGTCAGCTGTGGGCAGGGTTGGATTTAGGTATGTTGAAAAAGATAGCACAAAAAAATGAAAAGGATAGTATTTATAAAAAAAAAATAGTACACTTTCATAATTTTTTATTTAACATATAATATATTTGTTTCTTAGGTTTTCACGCACATCACTCATTAAATAAAACTAGAGTCTCTATAATAAACTAGAAACTCTTTGTTTCAGAGACCATGGGGTGTCTGTGACAAACAACACCTGGCAGCTGAACTTCAGCATGTCGAGCGAGTATTGAAGGATAATAACCTGAATGTACCACGTCGCCGTCACAGTCGCGCCAAACCTAGCACAGTCGATCGACAACCTGCTATACTACCTTACATGAAAGGAGTCACTAACAAGATTGGGAGGATTCTGAAGCGTGCTCCAATCAATACTTACTTCAAGCCGCCAAAGAAGATCAACCAGTTTCTACGACCAGTCAAGTGCAATATACCCTTTCAAGTTGCTGGTGTCTACAAACTTGAATGCGACTGTGGGCTCTCCTACATCGGGCAAACAAAGAGGAGTATAGGGACGCGGGTAAAAGAACATATCGCAGATATGAAAAATAGGCGCGAAAATAAGTCTGCAGTGTGTGAACATGCATTAGGGGGACCAAACCATTACATTAGATTTGATAAACCACAGATCCTTGCAACTGAGCAGCGATTTGTTCCTAGAATGATACGTAAGGCTATTGAGATTAAAAAATATCCAAATTTCAATAGGGAAGATGGTTGGTATATACCCCCAGCTTGGGAACCCATTATACAGGAGATAAAATCCCAACCCCGAGCACACACTGCAAGACCAACAGATACTATTAGTTCTTTTTGTTTGCATAATTTAACACAAGAAGGAAGCCTCTCTTGAGTTTGTTTCGCCGGTTCTTCTCAGAAGGTCTCCCAATTTTGGAACCGGTGGTAGTTTACGGTAGTTAGGGTCAAATAAATAAACTCAAAATTACAAAAAATAATTTGAAATAAAATACTTTATTAACTAAATTAAGTAATAAATTCATACATAGACAATAAAACTTAAAATCGAACAATGAAATAACCGAACGCTCAATAAAAGTCTTTCGAAGGTAGCTCGACAAAATTAAATAAAAATTTGATTCCGACGACGTAGCCTGTGAAAGGCTACGAAACGTCAATAAATAAATAAAGTTTTCGTGCATTAACCCGTAAAAAACTAGTTTTATTTATCATATAATAGAATATAAAATCGACACCCGTTAAGGCACAATTTCCTCCTCTTACAAGTTTATGAGTTTTTGAATATTACTATTAGTTCTATCTTCATCCTTGGCATTTCATCTCATCAACATATTATCCTCAGTAGGAATAAAATTAGTACAATTTCCACTTTTGCTACCGCTTTTGATGCCACTTTCCATAATTAAAACACTGAAAACGTACTATTTTACATAAAAATTCGCAAGCGATTGTTAAAACATTGAGCAAACTTTGAGTTTCCAATCGAATGGAAGGGACGAGATTAGAGAGAAGTGTACTGCGGAGGATAATCGCAGAATCAACGGCTAAAAACACAGCAAACATCGCAAGATCAAAATTCGGTTGGATACACGCACGGTCGAAATATTCAAAATATGTAAAACTAAGCATTCGGGAGCAAACTTTAAATTATAGTATTTAAGCGTACTATCCTTAGATATGGATAGTATATAGTACAAAGGGCGAAATTATAAATACTATAATTATAGTACAAAATCCAACCCTGGCTGTAGGGTATCCATGGAGATTTCACCGCTCCCCAGCCTGCAACAAAACGAAAAAGATGAACATTTTATGTTCCCATGTGTCAGTAGCTCCACCTATCGTTGAGTAGTAAAAACGTTTAGATAAACGTTCTTCATAGCTTCAGTTACCGTGCGTACGGTAGATCGCGCTACATTATGCCTTTTAGAGATGTTCATATTTAAATGTATCGATATAGTTTAGAAGGATAACAGCAAAAAAGAAGGGTGGCCCTTCTTTTTCACAAACACATCAAATATTACATATTATATCACAATTATTCTTTAAACAAACAATATCCCGACATCTTAAAATGTTATCCAGATATTAGACTTCTCAATCCTAGTCTTCATGATAGCTGGAGTTGCTGAAGGATACTTTTCTAGGGGGGGTTCTAATTGTATTGAAACAATAAAGTCAACTAAAGGAGGATCTGAAACGACAGGAATATAGGAAAAGTAAGTATCACGCTTTATATACGTTCGAAAAGTGTATTATTGAATATAAATATCTAACTTGACGAACTTTCATGGTAAACGTGTTCCTCACAAATAGCAAAAATAAGGGACTAGACTTGTTTTGTTACGGTACTTGAAGCAAAGCTCATTTAGGTATCTACTTAAAACCAGCATGCATAATGCCAGCAAATGTAAATGTAGTTCAATAGCATGCTAATTTCAAAAATGCTCTTAGTGATCTTTCAGAGTAAAGGCGGGTGCGGGTACGGGTAGATCAAATGTATCTAGACGCTTCTGGCTTTCACAGTGGTCGCGCGTCTGGATAGGCGCGGCGACGGGTGCGGGTAGCGTGACTATCGTGCGGGTGATTCTATCGGCTCAATCCACCTGTGTCTTTCACAGTGCTCTAGCGTCTTTCTGGTGCTAACGCGTCTGATTCCAAACCTTTTTGATTCACCCGCGGCAACATGGAAATCGATACAGAAGAATTTATATTATTTTTTTAATTATGAAGTGTGTTGGGATCTTATTTCATTTATAATTAAATGTATTTATTGTCTTTCTTGTGTATTCGCAGAAGTCTGGGTTACACGTACGGTATGGTACATTATATTCTCTTAATTCTTCTCGTCCTTTATTCATTTCATGTATAGCGTAATTTCTTCACATAATTTTCTTCCCAGTTTTAAAATGAATTTTCCATTAATAAAATCAAATCTTCATCCTAATAAGAAGCGCCAAGTTTTAGAACCGTATAACACGTGTACGTTCAGTCTCTCAGCCGCTCTACCACTGTGAACATGAAGACGCCAAGTCCCGCGCGCCCGCGCCCGCGTCCGTTCCCGCTCTGGCACTCTGAATAAGCACTTAGTCATGCTATTAAATTAAATTCAATACAATAAAATAATTTATTAAATTATTATGGAACATGTTTCACTTATCTCTATACCATTCGTGTATGTATGATCGAACAAATTGATTTCTGACCCACTTGCCCGATAATTCACATAAAAATCTCAAATCAGACAAGTTTTACGAAAATTGAAGCAAAAATCTACCTTACTATTTTGTAATGGCAGTAAGAAAATAAAATAAGATTATGGTGGATCAGGAATCAAATTGGCTGATACATAATATGAGATAACCTTCTGTACTAACTATTTTGTGGTCCTGGACTTCATTTGAAACCTACAGACTTATTAACTTTAACCCCTAATGCCTGTCATCATCATCATCATCAGCCTATTAATATCCCTACTGCTGGAGCACAGGTCTTCCCTATGGATGGAATAGGGAGATTGGGCCATGACCCACCACGCGGGCCCAGTGTGGATTGGCGGGTGCAACGACTGCAGATGCAGCCGGGACCAACGGCTTAACGTGTCTTCCGAAGCAAGGAGGAGCTCCAGATAGTAAATTTTTGGTTACCCATCCAATGACCGACCACTACGAAAATTACTTCAACGATCGCAGCCGAACGCGCTAACCACTTGCGCCATCGAGCTTCTGCCTATAACAATGTTAAAACTCCAGTAAAAAGTTGCACTTAGAGCGTCCAAGTGAGTGCGCTCACAGTCAGGGTAACCTGACTTTTTGTTGCACCAGCCCCCCTAGCATGAGCACCTCGATATGTTATAGATCGCGTTTTTATCACGCTCAAATGTCTAATTACTATGAAGTTTGGCAGTTAGACGCGATAAAAAACGTGATATAGCGTAAATTGTGGTGCTCATGCTACGGGGACTGGTGCGAAGGTTAGGATCGTAACCCGGGCGAGCTGCGTTCTAAACATGTTCCAAAGCTGTGACGTCACTAGGGACACGATATCGAAAAGAAAGTATCGATACTATACTCATGAGTAGTATCGGAAAAAAAGTATCGTACTCGTAAAATAAAAGGACATCTTAATTCACAAATTTCTATATTATGTAGATGCTCTTAAAAATGTGTAATGTTAATATAATCAACTGCAAAACTAACCGTGCGTAATTCAAGTACGTAAGTCTCAGGACACACTATATTGCTTGTGCTTCCAATTATATCAACGCAATGGAATGTTTTAGAAGGTTTGCTATGATTCCACTAAATGGCGTTGCCATCAATATAAGGCTCTTATCAAAATTTTTAATGGTATTGATATTTGCCAAAAAGTACTCATTTAGTTGAAGTATCGAAAACCAAGTATCGAGTACAAATGTATCGGTATCGAAAGGAAAAGTAATCGACACCACAAAGTATCGATACTTTTTTCGTGTCGCTACACGACACTGACAGTGACAGTCGCCCGCCAGTCGCTTGCTGTCAAAGAGACTGCATTATTCTGATTCTGTGGCAATAATTTCAGAATTTTTTCCATAGAAATATTTTCATTTTATCAAGTGCTGTGAATAAATTTTTTTAGACATTATGATACACAGCCTATTTATAATAAACCCAGCTGGGTAAGTTTTATTAATTAATATTGTGTTTGAGTCGTGTCATGTTCCATTTATTTATAATCTAAATATCTTTTCAAGCTAGACTAAATATGTTGAATAGGTACACAAATTTATTTCAGGGATGTATTTCTAGAGAAACATTGGCGTAGTGTTATTCCTAGGTCTGTCTGTGATTATTATTTGGAAGCCCAGCGTGCATCACCAAATGTAAGTTAGAGAGAATTAATATTATTTTACACTCCGATTAAAATTCGTAGTTCGTGTTCCGTGTTTTTCGTAGTTTGAGTAAATTTACTAACTGTTTTTATTTTGATTTCAAGGATGTACCACCTGTTTTGGCTGCTCCACACCACTACCTTATCTCCATTCAAAGAGGCGGAGTAGCACTGGTAGCTGTTTGTAAACAGGAAGTAGCACCTCTTTTTGTGATTGAATTCTTACACAGAGTTGTCGACACATTCCAGGTAGGCATTGATGTATTTGTAGAATGAAACATAGTTTTATTTATGATAATTATATATTGGATTTATGATGCCATATGTGCTAAGGGGATTGGTGCTGTATGCCGTAATACAGGCATTTTGCCTTGCTCGGCAGCATATAAATATGTAGTAATGTTAGAGATATTAGTACTGTTTTAGCCTTATATGTTAAATTGTAAATCAACTCTTACTGGAAATAAATTATTATTATTATTTATACATATTTTTGAAATAAGGCAAAACTGGGCCTGGTTCTGGCATTATTGCACTAGTATGTGACAAAAGTATATCTTTATCATGTCCTTTAGAGATTATTGAATTATTAATTATGAATTCTATCTGATTTAGGCTTATTGACTAATCATTCAATAAGCCTAAATTTCTTAATATGAAGATGGTCTTAATCTTACCTACCCACGTAATGTATATATTTATTGTGTAAGTATATTGTGTTTTTGGTTTGGTTTTGGTGGAAAAGAAAGAGAATATTATATTAATCAAAGTTAATAATTTATTGAAATCTTTGTTTGTTATCAAGATAACATATTTAGATTTTAACTTCTGGTAAAATGTAAGGAAAGTCTAGTTCTGGTTTTTACAATGGTTGTTAATATAGTCTTAATATTATTTTTATAAATATCTTAGAAACAAAGCTGGAGTAGGCCTATCTCTTACTGTAGTTTCATTATTGAAACTGACCGTTAATCCATAATGAATGCACTAATTTGGCTGAGCAGATTTAGAAATCAATTGTATCAAATGTTTTCCAAATCTATTCAGCAAAGGGTAATTAATTGAAACTAAAATTAAAATAATAAAAATTATAACTATAATTGCTATTTCTTCTTTCAAATGTTTAATACTTGTAAAAGTATTCATTTGACATTGTGGGTTTACCTATAATGCGAAGAGATGGCGCTGCCTTGCAGCTTAAGAATAGCTAGAAGGAATTTCGACGCGGTCCGTGAGGGCCGCGGTAGCATAATTGGTCAGTGCATTCGCCCGGATTGCGAAGGGTGCGGGTTCGAGTCCCGTCTGCTGCCTGGTCCGCGTGGAATTTTTTCTAGTTATATTTTCTTTAGATTTAAACATCAAGCAGTTACATGCTTTAAAAATAATAAAAATTATAACTATAATTGCTATTTCTTCTTTCAAATGGTTAATACTTGTAAAAGTATTCATTTGACATTGTGGGTTTACCTATAATGCGAAGAGATGGCGCTGCCTTGCAGCTTAAGAATAGCTAGAAGGAATTTCGACGCGGTCCGTGAATGCCGCGGTAGCATAATTGGTCAGTGCATTCGCCCGGATTGCGAAGGGTGCGGGTTCGAGTCCCGTCTGCTGCCTGGTCCGCGTGGAATTTTTTCTAGTTATATTTTCTTTAGATTTAAACATCAAGCAGTTACATGCTTTAAAAATAATAAAAATTATAACTATAATTGCTATTTCTTCTTTCAAATGTTTAATACTTGTAAAAGTATTCATTTGACATTGTGGGTTTACCTATAATGCGAAGAGATGGCGCTGCCTTGCAGCTTAAGAATAGCTAGAAGGAATTTCGACGCGGTCCGTGAGGGCCGCGGTAGCATAATTGGTCAGTGCATTCGCCCGGATTGCGAAGGGTGCGGGTTCGAGTCCCGTCTGCTGCCTGGTCCGCGTGGAATTTTTTCTAGTTATATTTTCTTTAGATTTAAACATCAAGCAGTTACATGCTTTAAAAATAATAAAAATTATAACTATAATTGCTATTTCTTCTTTCAAATGTTTAATACTTGTAAAAGTATTCATTTGACATTGTGGGTTTACCTATAATGCGAAGAGATGGCGCTGCCTTGCAGCTTAAGAATAGCTAGAAGGAATTTCGACGCGGTCCGTGAGGGCCGCGGTAGCATAATTGGTCAGTGCATTCGCCCGGATTGCGAAGGGTGCGGGTTCGAGTCCCGTCTGCTGCCTGGTCCGCGTGGAATTTTTTCTAGTTATATTTTCTTTAGATTTAAACATCAAGCAGTTACATGCTTTAAAAATAATAAAAATTATAATTGAAACTGGTTTGAATAATATTGTGATTTAAAAACAATTTTCTTGCAGGATTATTTTTCTGACTGCACTGAGACAATTATAAAAGAAAATTATGTAGTAGTTTATGAGGTAAGTAATTGGCTACTTCGCTTTGAACACAAATAATTGATGGACACTCTCAAAGTGGGTTTATTTGAATTTTTTGGTTTTGTTATTAGTTACTGGATGAAATGTTGGACAATGGTTTTCCTTTGGCAACAGAGAGTAACATTTTGAAGGAACTTATCAAACCACCAAACATTTTGAGAACTATCGCAAACACTGTTACAGGAAAATCAAAGTAAGTACAAATACTAAGTACTGATATAGAATAAAAATAATAAGATCTATAGTTGGTCTAAGTATGGTAAAGTTCCATTTCATATTTCCTCCAGTGTATCTTCAATATTACCATCTGGTCAGCTGTCAAATGTCCCATGGAGGAGATCTGGTGTCAAATATGCTAATAATGAAGCATATTTTGATGTTATAGAAGAAGTTGATGCTATAATAGACAAATCTGGTGCTACTGTCTCAGCAGAAATACAGGGTTATGTGAGTTAATGTGTGATAATGGGATTTTTCCTATTAATTCTAATCACCTACTTAATTATTTTTTTACTTTTAGATTGATTGCTGTATCAAGCTAAGTGGGATGCCAGATCTGACATTGACCTTTGTAAATCCTAGACTGTTTGATGATGTTTCATTTCATCCATGTGTCAGATTTAAACGTTGGGAGGTAAAAGTTCAACTTAAACTATTAATTTAGTTTTACCTTAATGGTCAACTAGCATTAAAGTAGTTATTTTCAGGATTGCTACCATGTATCTTGATCATTATTTTTGTTTTATTTCCTTTGTATAATTAAATTTTTAATATTTCAAACACTTTATCCCTCCGGGGTATGTTGGGCCAAGTGTCAGAATGTCCATAGTGTCAAAAAGACAAGGAAATAATGCCCAATTGTTAAAATGTCATAACACCAGGTGTCAAAACAACAAATAGTTAAAAAATTTAATTGTCAAATCAAATTATCAAAACATTCGATTGATGGAATGTCTAGTTGTCATAATAACCAGGCGCCGAAACAACAAATTGCTAAAATATAGTTGTGAACCGAATATCAAAAAAAATTGCCACTTTGACATAATGCCTAATTTTTTTGATTTTCGAGGAAAAATGATTTTACAGTTTTAGAAATGAAAAGTGTTGCCGAGGCATTTGTTATTTGAACTAGGTATTTGTGTTCTTTTTAAAAGTATCGAAGGCATTGTTTTACCTTTATAACACAGAATATACGCAATATTGTTATATATGCACCGACTTCGAGAGCAATTGTCGAAACTTTATTTTTTTCAGAATTAGATTTCACAATTGCATTCCAGCCAATCTTTTGGCGAAAGTGGCAAATTAGAAGTTAAATGAGCAAATTTTGGAGACTTGTACATATTGACTAACAGTCTTTATAACATCCGAACATTATGTCACTATGGACATTCTTTTTTTTTTTTTACATCAAATAGGTTTACGCTTGGCAGCCACGCGACTGATGAAGAGCGACGTGGCAGCCTAAGGTGGTACGCGCTTGCCTAGAAGAAACCGATTCACTCGCGACTTGAAGAGCCCCAGATTGTAGGTGACTGGAAACAGAGATTTCGGCAAAGAGTTCCACAACCTAGCTGTTCTGACGATATAGGTGGAAAAAAAACCGTTTAGTACGAGTTTGCGGGACCTGTACGGTATATCTGTGGCGTTTTGCCGTCTCTCTGGTGGTTCTGTGGTAAAAAGGTGAAGTTGGAATTAAGTTGTGTAACTCCGAGGCACACTCTCCGAAATGTAACCGGTAAAAAACCGATAAAGAGGCAACTTTTCGCCTGTGTTCAAGACTTTGGAGTCTACTCTCGAATAATTTGTCGTCACCGATGAGCTTCTTTGCATACCTCTCAATGCACTCCAGAGACTTCAGCTGATATTTTGCAGAACCATCCCAAAGGTGCGAACAGTACTCCATGCACGAGCGAACTTGCGCTTGGTACAAGGTGAGCATCTGTTCCGGTGTAAAGTACTTCCGCACCTTTGCGAGGACGCCAAGCTTTTTTGCAGCCAGTTGAGCTCTGGACTCAATGTAGGTACCGAAGTTGAGAGTTGAGGTGAGAGTTATACCTAGAAGCTCGAGCTGTTCGGTTACCGGCACGGTTACACCTCGGAAAGAAGGGGCCAGTTGAAACGCCCTCTTTTTAGCGGAGAACAGACACGCCTGAGTCTTAGAAGCATTAAACTTGACCAGATTGGCATCGCCCCAATCGGAGACTACCTGAAGGGACAAGTTTAAGCGGTTGACCATGGCTTCTCGGAGTGATTGAACTTCGGCCGCACTGGCACGCGCATTCGATATATAGCTCTCTACGACTGTGCTATCATACCCGAAGGTACCGAGTTTAAGCAGATCGTTGATATGGAGCAAAAAAAAAATTTGCAGAGAGTACCGACCCCTGCGGAACTCCGGCATTAACAGCCTTTCGATGTGATTGGCAGCCATCTATAACTACTCTTATAGACCGATCACGCAGGAAGTCCGATATCCAGGCGCATAGTACAGTGGGCAAGCCGTACGAAAGAAGCTTGCTTATAAGGCTATCATGCCAAACTATGTCGAAAGCCTTCGAGATATCGATCGATATAGCCAGCGCTTCTCCGTGCTTCTCAATGGCTTCACTCCAAATGTGAGTAGCGTACACTAAAAGATCCTCAGTGGACCGATTTCGGCGAAATCCGTATTGTCAATCACTGAGGAGGTTATTCGCTTCTAGGTACGCTAGGATCTTGTGGTTCAGAACACGTTCCATGCTCTTACAGAGTAATGAAGTGACTGATATTGGTCTGTAGTTCGCAGGGTCGGCATGACTACCTTTTTTGGGCACCGGTTGTACGTTAGCAAGCTTCCAGGATTTAGGCACTTGTCCAGTTTCCAAGGAGAGCCGGAAGAGGCGTGTCAGATCAGGAGACAATTCAGGTGCACAGGTCTTCAGAACTATTGCAGGAATACCATCAGGGCCACTGGCTTTGTTCTGACCCTTGGCCCAATATACCCCCATATCTAGTTGGTTTTTCTCAGTATAGGTCTCTTTCACAAGTGTGATTAAGTATAGACTGCACTAAAACTACTATTTTTCTTAGGTTACCAAATGAGGAATAATATTTTTAAAATGTTGTTTTCAGCTTAGAATTTTAAAGAAAAAAATGGGTGCGTGTACTTATGTAGGCGCGTGAGAAGTTATCCTTCTTTGGCATCGTTTAAAATTAGTTTTTAATTGCATGCAAATAATTAATTACAATAAATTAATAAGAAGTCTGGAAAAGGACACAGTCAATAAAGTTCAGTTTTAATTTGAAAAAATAAATAAATAATCAAAATATTCAATTAAAATCGCTACTGAATATAATTTATTAGAACATAATTATGTGATTTGCACTTGTATGAAACTCAAACACGTATTCCGAATATACTAACTAGAAACATGTGGATAAATATTATAAATATGAATACCTATGACTGTTACTTTATTACAAAAAATAAAGATGTGGTTTTTGGTTCTACTACACCAATGGTCAAGAGATGGCGCTGTAGTCTCCTGAATCGCGCTTTGGTTCCGTTGTTCCAGATTAATAAATACTTTTGATATCATAAATATGAATACCTATAACTGTTACTTTATTACAAAAAATAAAGATGTGGTTTTTGGTTCTACTACCCCAATGGTCAAGAGATGGCGCTGTAGTCTCCTGAATCGCGCTTTGGTTCCGTTGTTCCAGATTAATAAATACTTTTGATAGGCCTTCACAATGCAGTCGTTAGCACCCACTAAATAGAGATTCTATTTCTATTTTGTTGGTAGATTTTCTTAATGTGCGGTAAACACAAAAGTAACGCATGGAGTTGGTCGCTAAAGCGACCAACTTCATGCTGTTAAAATTTTGTGTTACAGTGATGCGCGCGCATCTTAAAATTTCACTCTCATCATTTTTTCATAACGCGCCTAAAGAAGTATAACTTCAAAAAAGTTTTATCTAAAATTCTTGAAATAATGTTTACTTTCAGTCAGAGCGAATATTGTCCTTCATACCCCCAGATGGCAACTTTCGTTTGATGTCATATCATATAGGGTCACAGAGTGTTGTGGCGATTCCAATATATGTTAGACACAACCTGTCTCTAAGATCTAACGGTGATCAGGGAAGACTCGACCTGACTGTTGGGCCTAAACAAACCATGGGTAGAACATTGGAAAGTAAGTACTTAATACATGAGTTTATTTTCATGACAGGTTTCTCTTATTTAGATTCTTGTTATTTTTTTTTTCAGATGTAGCATTAGAAATATGTATGCCTAAATGTGTTCTCAACTGCTCTCTAACTGCGAACCAAGGGAAGTACTCGTACGACCCAGTGAGTAAGGTGCTGCTTTGGGACATTGGACGCATAGAACTGCCGAAGCTGCCCAATATAAGAGGATCTGTAAGTGTTTTTATTGAAGGATTAAAAATGCGTTTAACATCGTCAGACAAACATTAACTACACTTATATTATATTTTTATTTTAAAAATTAACTGCTAGTTTTATAATTTTACTAGGAAACATTACACGCGGTCTATTTCACCAAGTCGATATATATCATAATAATGACACGCATTTTTTTTAAATAATAAAAAAACTTAAATAATAATGACACGCATTTTTTTTAAATAATAAAAACTACTTGACGACAATTATGTTGTGAAAGAAGTAAATATTTTTTAAGGCGACATATTTAACAAATTGTAGGTAATTCTTGACATGAGATCGTCGACGTTACTATTGTAGTATTTTCATTGTTAGTTACAAACGGCTCTCAACGAAAGCTTGAAAAGATGAGTTCTTATAAAGAACGAATAAGTTTCTCCTTTGATATCACTGATTATGCGTTCAAAGAAAAAATCCGAAATACAACACCAGTATCGAACATTTAATTAATGCAATCGGTGCAGTAAATAGATCAGCCCACAACAAACCGTCGGCTTACACATGTAGATGTGTAAGAGTGATATATGTCGACTTCGTAAAATTGGGCCCAGATTAACTATACTGGTCAAAGTGAAGACTTATTCTATTGATATGCCATAGAAAGTAGGTTATCAACATCATTATCTCCGCTCTACGACGCTCACTGCTGGGCATAGGCCTCCCCCAAGGATCTCCAAATCGATCAATTCTGTGCCACGCGCATCTATCGGCTTCCCGCGATCTTCACCAAATCGTCGGTCCAGGTGAGAGGTCTTCCAACCGAGCGTCGTCCGGTGCGTGGTCTTCCAACCGACCGTCATCCGGTGCGTGGTCTTCCAACCGACCGTCGTCCGGTGCGTGGTCGCCATTTGAGAACCTTTCCGCCCCAACGGCCATCGGTTCTCCTCGCTATATGTCCCGCCCACTGTCACTTCAGCTGAGCAATCCTTCGAGTGAAGTGAAGAAATACCAAGCATCCAAATCCAATCCAGAAGCTTAAAGACATCCTCCAACGCAGCAGAAAACCGTTTCGGAGATATGTATAACATCTCCCTGTCTCACGCCTTGTTGCGGTTGGATCGGATTAGAGCTCTGATTTTGTAATCGGACTGACAAAATGGCATTTTCGTAAAAGTACCTTAACACCTCGACATGCCTGTCTACTTGGCACCTTTGGAGAGACTGCAGCACCGCCCAGCTCTCAATCGTATCAAAAGCTTTCTCGTAGTACACAAACGCCGAGCAAAGTGGCAGGTTATACTCCTCAGTTTTCTGTATAATCGGCCGCAGCGTGTGAATGTGGTCTACGGTACTGAAATCCTTTCGGAAATATGCTTTCTCGGGCGGTTGGAAGTCGTTAAACCTGCGAGCGAGACGATTCGTGATAACTCTCGAAAACCACTTATAGACATGGCTCATAAGTGGGATTGGTCGATAGTTCTTCAAGAGTAGGCTATCACCCTTTTTGAAGAATAAAGACCCTCACTTCTGCTCCACGATTTCGACGATTGGTCTTCGAGGATGACGCAATTGAAAGCTTCTCGAGGACTTTAAGTATCGGCTTACCGCTCGCTCTCAGAAACTAGTGATTCTATCATCGCTCGCCGCCTTGTTGTTTTTAAGTTGTTTGAGAGCCATACTAATTTCATACAGGCTGACGTCCGGGATTTCTTCGGTGTGGTAAGCTTAGCTCTGGGATCTTTAGCATTGCTTTCAACAGGCGCTTGTGAGGAATATAGCTGCCGATAGAACCTAGATTAAGAATCTCCTTCAGGATTTCAGACTTATTCGAAATGACCTTCGTCAGTTTCCAGTTTCGTCAGTTGACTTTGCCCAATAGGCAGATCTCGTGCAAACACTTAATTTATTTTATTATTTATCTGTTTATTACAAGTAACAAAGACTCATATTATACACAATACATTAATTATTTATTATTATTGATTTATTAAATTAAAATTATTGTCGAACCTTCACTAGAAAATTGAATTGATACATTTAAAAAATCTCAATAAAATTAAAAATCTTATAAAACTTGAGGAAAATAATATAAATAAACTGCTCCGCCACAGTGTGCAACGTGCAGTCTACAGCAGTGGTTGATATATGGGCAATCAAACTTAGGGCCAACAGCATGCTAGCACATCTAGCTTGCTATTGGCACTCCCCCAGCACTCGTCGCACCAACGAAGCGCCACGCTTGCGCATTATGGCATAAAAACAGTCTGTGCGAGCTTCCGCAAACATTGTCGAGGCGCTACAAAAACATGGGACGTTCTAAACGCATTGTTGAACTGAACTCAAAGGGCGTCATACAATTTGAGAGTGTAATTAGTCCAGAGGCTGCATGTATAGAAAAAAGAGCAAAACGCCCTAAAATGAGTTACTTTCACCGCAGTGGAAAAACTTTGGAGCCCTTATTGCGCTCTTTAACTTCTTTAATATGATTAGTACCTTATTATATTGGCGAAAGTCGCTCGTCAAAGACTATTTAAGAAACGATACTGACTTGCATCGGCTGAGTTCTGTAACATCATTTTATTTCGCTTTTCCATAAGTTTGGTGTGTCTTGTTAGATAGTTTCTTGATTCTAGTACGGCGGGTTTCGAAATACTTGGACCGTCCACATCCGGACTGTTTTCAAGGGCTTCAAGCGGTATTGTTCTTCGAGTTTAAAGCTTTCGAGGTTTTGAAATTGTGCTGGTGTTGGTCCGAGCGTAGACCTTATCAGTCGAGATCTTTCCAGCTTAATGTTGATATTCAATGTGCCTCTTACCAAACGGTGATTGCTTCCCGTTTTGACGTCATTGATCACATACATCATTGAAAATGTGCCTTTTTGTTGACATTATAAGGTCAATCGCATTTTTTATTTTACCGGCAGGGCGCATTCAGGTTCATTCCAATTTTGGAACTTCCTGAAGAACGAGCTCATCATGAAGAGGTTCTCCTTTTCCATGAAGTCAACCAACATCCGACCTCTGGCGTTCCAGTACTCAACTTCAAATTTCCCCACTCTCAACTCATCTCAGCTACGCTTCCCCAACCGAGCGTTGAAGTCCCCCATCACAACTAACTACAACAACAGCCACTTCAACGCCAAAACCTACTAGAGTTTTGTGGCCATGCATGGCTTTAGAGATCTCCTCATACTTCCTTCACTTCGTCATCTGGATGTGTCTATTTCGGAACATATACCTGAATGTCATTCAACGAATATCTTTTCGATACTCTGCCTATCCGGTATGCATCCCTGGGCGACATACTTCCGATGTTTATCACGTTGTTGACGATGGACTTATGGACGATAAACCCGACCCCGCACCACTTGGGACTGCAGGTCCCCTTTCTGGTAATATGGTAAGTTACTAGAATTGAAGATTATTGAGTCCTCTCCCTTTCTTCGGACTTCAGATAAACCGATAACATCCCAGCCTAACTTATTAAAAGCTTCTTCCAACTCTGTTAACTTCGCGTCAGTCCTCAGTGTGCGCGTATTGTTGGTTGCCAGGTACAGTCGTCTTTGATGGTAGCCGGATCTTACCCGGGGATTCTTCGCACCCCCTGTCCTGTTGTTACCAATGCTACTACCGTGGCTCGGATATGTAGGGCTGCCGGGAACTTTGGACCGATTTTTGTATGTGTCAGTCATTAGGGGGTTTTGCCGTAATCGCCACCCTTGGCAAAAGGGTTGGCGATCGCAGTATGGCCATAGAATATAAGGAGAAGACGCTGCTGCTCGTCTTCTGTTGGCTGTGTCCCTGTACTTCATGGGACGAGAGGGGGTAGTGCTATTCTAGGCCGGCACACACACAGCACGAAAGTAGGTACAGTAAATTAATTGACCTCTCTCAATGCGGTTCGTAAGTGGTCTTTTTGTTTACACATCTCGTATAAGCCCTTATGCGATTCGCAGAGCACCGAAGCAAGGTGTGTTATGATCATCATCATAGACATAAATAATGGACCGAATAATACTTGCATGAAATCGACTACTGTTTCATACGGTTCAGCCAGCGTAGGCAATGCAAGCGCAAAAAATGTGTTTATTTACGACATCACATAAGAAACTCCTAAAATTATCAAAATTACTCTACTATATTATGCATCTATTATACATATATAAAACTACTTTCCTCATGAATCACTCTATCTTCAAAAAAAACCGCATCAAAATCTGTTGCGTAGTTTTAAAGATCTAAGCATACATAGGGACAGACAGAAAGCAACAACAAGCAACTTTGTATTTTACTATGTAGTGCTGTTCTCATTTATGTCAGTTGTGCAAAATTTTTATTTTTGCTAAAAACAATTCAACTTGTTGCATACCTGCATCGGGCGGAATATAACAGGATTTGTTCTTTCTTTATTTAACCTGTTCAAGCGTTTACGTGTCGACACCACAAAAAATAAAGTCTAACTGATATCAGCCAGCCTTTGGTGCTGAGTTGCTAGAACTATTGAGTGACATCGGTGCAAAATTGGGAAAAAGCTGTGCTACAATTAATACAGCAGCTCCTCTTTGTATTTCCCCTATGTATACTTGAGTGTTTGACATTAAAATAACTTTTCGGTACAGGTATCAGTGGTATCAGGCGCGGACACATCAGGCGCTAATCCTAGCATCAACGTCCACTTCACTATCCCCCAGTTAGCTGTAAGCGGGCTGCGTGTGAGCAGGCTTGACATGTACGGGGCCAAGTACAAGCCGTTCAAAGGCGTCAAGTACGTCACCAAAGCGGGCAAGTTCCACGTCAGGATGTGATTGAAGCTCTATACGGACGCCGACGGACTTTAAACCCTTCCGAGTTGCTGAATGAAATTTTAAAAGAGAATCTTGTTTAAAACCTCGTTGGTTGCAAATAGCTGATAAGGATGAAGTGAAGTGAGCAAATTAGATTCTTGGTGCAAGTGGTCCTTAAAGAGCATAATTTGCGTTAATTTTTAAACATGAAATATTGTTTGTTATCAATGCCTGATTCTTATATGAAACAATCGAAATATAGCTGCTAATTTCGTAATATACCTACCTAGGATGTGCGTGTGGACTGAGTGATTTGAACCAAATTATAAGAGAATTTAAGAAATAATTGTGAAAACTTAATGGTAAGGAAAAAAAATTGTAAAACCTAACCAAAGAAAGTTAGAACTAATTAACTGGATCACTCAATCTGGACACCTGAAGAATAAGCCATTACCCGTATCCAAGAAAATACTACCTATGTGTTTATAATTTGTATTTGAAATAATTGTGAAGAATTTATGAAAGCTGCTAAACAAATTTTCGATTCATTTCAAAGCCTAGTATAAGATTTAGAACGGTTTATATGGATCACTCAGAATGCACTATGTTCATTTGAGTGATCTTTTAAAACACTACCTTATACTGAAAAAGTATGAAACATTATCATGTTTGTTATAAATTATGCTTCTGGGAAAATTGTGAAACAAAGATCGGGATTGAAATCTTACTGGTTTAAGAGAGAGAAATGAAAATGAAAATCTTGTTTTTCCTCGATCGTCCCAACTGAGTGATCCTTATCTTGAACTATATTTAATAAACCCAAACTTATAGGTAGAAGGTAGTTACATCAGAAATTGTGAAAAATGTTGTGCTAGAATTTGACGAACCAATCGTCCCAGTAAGTGTTATATTTTTCATCCCACCACCTCGGAAAGTGTAATTTTGCGCTTCGAAATCTGGCTGGAAAATTCTATTTTATTCGCTTGAGCGGCAAAGTAGATTTGAATTTAGAACATCACATATAATGAGTACTCAATATAATTGTAAATTCAAAACGTCATTAAACCTATTTAATGTAACCTCTATGGTGCCAAATTTATGATTAGAACTTTTTAAATTGTGAAAAAATTTAAATTTGGAACCTTCTTGGTTTCTTTGTTTTATTTGCGTGCTTCGCGCCATTCTAGTTTTTCACGTTTTATTGCTTAAATATTTTGTCATTATAAATTGTTTTCTTTTTCATTTTGTCATTTCCTCGCTGAGGTGGGATGAAAAGTTACGTATTGCACTCGAGTGGAAAGATTTTTCACCTTGTGCTCGTTTGTTTCCCTCGCTGACGCTCAGGATTCTAATTTAGAATCACTCGCTGCGCTCGTGATTCAACTTTAGAATCACTCGCTGCGCTCGTGATTCAACTTTAGAATCCTTCGCTTGCTCGGTCATCCAAATCGAGCACGCGGTTAAAAAGGAACTTTCCACTCTTGTATAATAAATAACTATTAAAAGATAACTCATTTTTTACAATCCTTAAGGAAAACGTTGAGTAGGGTGATCATATCGGTTTACTTGAGTACCGAGAGTTGTGTAAGTTTTGTTTTTAGAAGTTTTAAAGGTGTTTTTATAGTGTTTTCACTACTTAATACATAATTTCAACATAAAATGACGTTTTTATGTGACAAATTTTCAGCAAAGTTAGGTATTGTCACACTGTATTAGGTTTATCATACTAAGGAATAGGGATGTCGAAAGTTGCAAAAAATATCGATATATCGATACATCGATATTTAAAAAAATATCAATATCGGCTTCGATATATCGTGAAAAAAACATCGATATATCGGACCAATTTTCCCAAAAATATATTTAGGTCAGCCTAGCACAGTAATAATAACAATACAAATTATAATTAATATACAATATCTCACGAAAGATGACACGCGGAATAATGATGGAATGAAAATTATCTCCCTAAAAATATACCCTATTTTCGAATGATGAAAATGATTGCAGGGCCTCTCAGGTGCCATCTTTCGTAAACAACACTAGACAGTCACAAACTTCCACAGAATATAATGGAATTCAGCACAACCAATTCACCAGCGAAACAGATTTACACATCATAGGGTACGGCCAGAGTGCACTCAGATTCAGATTCCGAAAACAAGCGCGAGAAATAAACAGTGTAGTCGAAGGGTACGGCCAGAGTGCACTCCTGATTCAGATTCAGACTCAGAAAACAAGCGCGAGAAAAAGCAGGCAACCTGCTTAGACTACACTGTTTATTACAGCACAGATCATAGATATGTTGAATATCATTAATCTGAGCTCCAGTTACGATTTTTCCAGATACGAATTTAGTTAGATCGTGATATGCCGCTAATAATTAAAAAAAATATCATTTTTGATACGAATTTCGATATTGGTTATTTTGTATCGATGAATCGATATATCGAATCAAAATATATCGGCTAAAAATATCGATATATCGAACAAATAATATCGATATATCGATATATTTTCAACAAGCCTACTAAGGAATTGTACACACAAAAAAAAAGATCAGAATTTTTTAAGGAACCAAAGAAATTAACTTTTTAGTAGTTTAAGTTTTTTTCTAACATTCATAGTCTAAAATGTTACCTAATCGATAAATCCGTAGGACAACGTATGTAAAATAACTGGTTCTTCTTCTTTGCTGTTATACATTTATCCCATCAAATCATCATAACAGACTATTTTTTTGTTATGGACACCATGTCCTCTGTAGTGGCCAATATTATCGGGACTTCATTCATTGCACTGCCACCATCATTACCCCATTGTGGCACAACGATGAGTAATATCAAAGTACTTGCTCGATTCTTTGGATAGGTTACAGCGGCGCGCGATCCGCATCATAGGCGATGAGGAGGTGACTAAACACCTTGAGCCTCTTCAATTACGCCGTGACGTGGCGTCACTAAGCGCGTTCTATCGTCTGTGTTCTAAGGAGTTATTCTCTCTCATTCTACCTTCCCCTTTCCTTCAGAGGATCACGCGCGCTGGCCTACGTTGCCACCGCCTAACTGTGGCCGCAATTCCAACGCGTACAAAGAAATTTGGTGACTCATTTCTTTGTCGCACTATCCGTAAATGAGATGCTCTGCCCGCTCACGTGTTAATATTTTTTTTTTTAAATAAAAACTTCAATGAATATTTCAGAGACGATGATCATTCCCTCTTACAACCTGGGATCCTTTAATAGAGGCGTGAAGAAGCAACTCGCAGGCCGGTAGGGTGAAGATAGCTGATGTGGCAGGTAGAACTGCTGTATCTGCTATCTGGACTTTACCTTCACTTAACATCAGGTGGGATAGAGTCATTTGTCGGACATATCTATCAAAAAACAGTTATTTTATCTTTGTTTAGTTACTTTTCTATATATATAAATAAAAAAACTATAAACAAACTTCATTGCATTATATGCACTGTACAACGCCGCCAGCTTCGCAAATTGCAATGAATATACACAATGATGTCCATTCTGGCATGATTCTCTAAAGCTAAACTTAAATTTGACAACAGTGTATCTTTGTCAATCTCTATACAGAATGAAAAGGACAGACTGATGTTAAATTTAGTTTTAAGTTTAGAGAATCCTGCCAGAATTGACACCAATGTTCGCATTGAATAGGGTCAGTCGAAATAAAATCCGACAAAATAATAAAGTACAAGTACCCTACTCAACGTTTTCCTTAAGGATTGTAAAAAATGAGTTATCTTATAAAATATAACACTTACTGGGACGATTGGTTCGTCAAATTCTAGTACAACATTTTTCACAATTTCTGATGTAACTACCTTCTACCTATAAGTTTGGGTTTATTAAATATAGTTCAAGATAAGGATCACTCAGTTGGGACGATCGAGGAAAAACAAGATTTTCATTTTCTCTTAAACCAGTAAGATTTCAATCCCGATCTTTGTTTCACAAATTTTCCCAGAAGCATAATTTATAACAAACATGATAATGTCTCAGACCAACAAAAAAAGATAATGTTTCATACTTTTTTAGTATAAGGTAGTGTTTTAAAGGATCACTCAAATGAACATAGTGCATTCTGAGTGATCCATATAAACCGTTCTAAATCTTAAACGTGGCTTTGAAATGAATCGAAAATTTGTTTAGCAGCTTTCACAAATTCTTCACAATTATTTCAAATACAAATTATAAACACATAGGTAGTATTTTCTTGGATACGCGTTATGGCTTATTCTTCAGGAGTCCAGATTGAGTGATCCAGTTAATTAGTTCTAACTTTCTTTGTTTAGGTTTCACAAATTTTATACCTTACCATTAAGTTTTCACAATTATTTCCTAAATCCTCTTATAATTTGGTTGTGATTGGATGAGTTTTTTGAAAAGATCACTCAGTCCACACGCACATCTACCTAGGTAATATTAATATATCTAGGTTTACTGTTTAGAGAAATATCCTTTCTTTTAATATATAAAATTCTCGTATCACAGTGTATATTCAGTACCCTTAGCACGAACCAATATCGAAATCGAATAGTTTGCGAGTCCAAAATGTCATTGTCAAATGGGTACTGATTTTTAGTATTAGTTACGTCCTTTGTGGCGCTGCTGTTCAAGTTTCCATACAAAATTTGACAATGACATTTCGGACTCGCAAACTATTCGAACTCGATATTGGTTCGTGCTAAGGGTACAGTAGGTCTGAGAATAGGACAAACTTTATTCAACCACCTAAAGTGATAAAGGGTGAATCAACACAAAATTATTGTTTTGGTAATTTTTTTATGGTAATATTTTTATGAATCGGCATTAAAAATAAATACACAATTTTAAAACACCAACAACCTCTCAAAGTGCTGTTTCATACGAAATGTATGAAACAGCTGTTTTTTTTTTGCGATTTCGAGGTTGGCCCCATAGTAAAAGTTGTTCCTGTTGATGGGTAGAATTACCTTCTAAGAGGTTGTTGGTGTTTAAAATTAAAAGCGAAGTTCGTCCCATAATAAAAGTTGTTTCTGTTGATGGGTAGAATCACCGCCTAAGAGGTTGTTGTTTTAAACTTAACCCTGTATACTATACTGGCGTCCCGCCCCGGCTTCACACGGGAAAAACTTATAAAAATATTTTAGGTTTTTTTAAACATGCATTTAAGATATCTATAATAGGATTTTTTATTAATAAAAAGTTAAACTGCGATAGACCGAATAAATGTTTCACAATTCACTCGTACTCTGTCTTGTCCCCGGGCTTCGCGAACTTGATATAATGTCCTTAGTTTTAGTCCATCAATAAACGTATCCTATGTATCTATAGATTCTATGAGAAAGTAAAACCCGACGCACTATTTATAGGCACTATGTCCCCGCTATGTGCCTGCATTTTAAATCAAAATATTCATTTAAACTTCATGCTGTAAAGAGCCATATTGATCTATATTAAATGCACAATGTACCTATGTATTTAAGGTGCTTAATTATTTTTCATAAAAAGTAAAGGATATAAAAATGGTTATTGTTGGTTAACCCTAAAAGATATACCATCCATATAGGTATCCTAAATGTACTGAAATTGTAAGAAAACCACGAATAGACTAAACAAAATAAGGTTCACTGTATCTGTTTGGTTCAATATCACTTTTGGCATCATAGAATAAAGTTATTTGGTTAAAATTTAAAAATTAATATCTGTAATTGACATAGAGCAACGCTGCTGACGCGGCCAGGAGGGGAGTAGGCATTTTCTGTCGATTTTCCCCGCTATTGGGCCAGCTCATAAATAAAACGAGTTGCGCGTAGGATAATTCACTACACTGAGTCAAGTCGCGTGAGTGTATGTTAGAGATCAAAAATGCCAAAATGTTATGTAATTTGCTGCAAATCTGGAATCTGGAATATTAAATTTACAAAAGGATGGTGTTAAATTTCACATATAAGTAGAATTATTAACATATTACTTCTATTTAACCACTTTTAAACACAAAACTCATATTTAGTTAAAATTCAAACGTCGGCCTTGTTTCACAAAATAATTCACTCCCCAGTACAAACTTCAGATCTGTCAATAAAAATCTTAAGTTTCATCTATGCCCGATTTAGCGATGTCATTTGTTATGTGCGTCGAGAGTCGTAGTTACAATTTCGTTTTTGCGAAAATATATTGGACTGTATTTGCGTGCATATTCCTCCCCCCGCAAAAAGCGGCAGAATGATTTCAGTAGTATTGTCATTATGGCAACTCTCCTCCTAGCCACGTCGGCTGTGTTACGGTAATTAGTCACTTTCTAATTATTAAAATATTTTAAATCTAAAGAAAAGTTTACTAGAAAAAAATCCACGCGGACCAGGCAGCGGACGGGACTAAATATTTTATTACATATTTTAAAAATATACGATTATTACATACTTCTTTGTATTTTATTATATCAATAAGCAAGCATAAGAATATTCTCATTAAATGTAATGACTTTTCTTATAGGTTTTAAGTACGACTATTTTCTGTGATGTAATTGTGGGCAGCGAGTTCTCGCTTAAGGTTTTTCAGTTCCGTTTCCACATCACCTTTTCCCAGAACAACTGCTTTGTCTCTGAAGTATCGCTGTACTAAGACGCACATAAGCGCCGAGTAATCTTCTCGAATACTTGACTCGATATCGCGCTCCTGTAAGTGAAAAAGCCACGGGCGAGATACTGGATGTCATACAGATTAAAAAATTTCTTCATCAATCTTCAGCTCGCCTAGTAGATGTGAAACATCAAGAACAAAAAACAGTTAAGAAAATTAAAACCATTCCCAATTCTTACTGATCATTTATCAATTTAGCTAAGTATAACAGTGAAATAGAGAATAGGTTTGTTTGTTATTTTTATATAGCCAGGTAGGCAAATTACTTTACCCTACCTGATGTTAAGTGGTGATTAAGAAAAAAATCTTTAGATTTAAACATCTAGCAGTTAAATGCTTAAAAATATAATCACATATTGATGTTGCTTCATTTCCACGATCTCATAATCTGCGCCATCAAGCTCCTCATTTTAGTTTTTAACTGTACTATTTTAGAGAAACGCGGTCACGTAGACCAGGCAGCAGATGGGGGCTCGAACCCGCACCCTTCCCTATCCGGGCAAATGCACTGACCATTATGTTACCATGGCCATGATGTCCGAATCGAATTTTCTCTAGCCTTCCTTAAGCTGCAAGGCAGCGCCATCCCTTTACAAGTATTAAACATTTAAAAGAAGAAATAGCAATAAGAGACTGGTCAGCGTGGATTTTTTTCTAGTAAATTGTTTTTTAGACACCTACAGACATCTGGCAGTTACATGCTTAAAAAAATTAAAATATAATGATTTGTTTGTTTGAATCACACTATAGAAAGACAAAGGATTGATGCATTCGAGATGTGGTATTGGAGACGAATGCTGTGAATACCTTGGACGGCAAGGTGCACCAATGTATTGATCCTGACCCAGCTTCGTATAGAAACTCGTTTGCCCACCTTATGCCGGCAATGTATTCTTTCATACTTCGTGGCCGAAGTGAGCAGATGCAATGCAAATGTGGAAAAACTTATTATGGTTCGGAACACCGTGGCAAAAAATCGTACGGTCGTTCTCCTTTAAGATGGACCGACCAAATTAAGAGGGGAGGCGGGCAATGTTTTTTACATACAAACGTTCTCGACTTATTCCTCCTTGATTTTTATCACTAAATAATTGATTTTCATAAATAAAATATAATTTTACTCATTTTATGTTTCTATGTCTTCATTTTTTCGCGAGAAGCCCTCAAAAACGCCAAAAATAAACAAATTTTTATCACCACTAAAGACGTCTAGTGTGGAGCTTTTTGCATTTTTTAAACGCAATTTACAGTGCGTGACAGCAATAGTTTTTTCAAATACCTATTTCTCAAATTTCTCTCAGCTCGCGTTCGCACTTAAAGATTCGTCCTCATCCAAATTGCATTTATGCATTGTTAAGAAGGCGTTGGATAGAAACCGGTGGAAACAGATCTTCCGCTCCAGACGCTACCGTGACGCTGACCACGTTCCTCAGACACGAGGGACTGACCCCAGACAGAGATAGAAAGGATATTTTAATCATACATACTAACTATATAGCAACAGTATGAAAGAGACCAGCGTGCGTGGATGCCCTGTGATCGGTTGAGCTTCGCTCTCAACCATTCCACTACGTTACTCATTCCAGAAGCTGTGGGGATTAGGTTGAAAGGTGATGGTAATGTAGTCTGCATCATGTAGTTAATGTAAACCTGTAAAATAAAATCTAACATTTAATATTTCAAAGCTCTTTTAATTGATACTTAATATGTAGGCACCGGGCGACTATGTATATTATACAAGGATATATGTTGTCGTGAAGAACTCGATGGCGCGGATGACTAGCGCGTTTGACTGCGATCGTTGAAGTTAAGCAACTTTCGCAATGGTCGGTCATTGGATGGGTGACCAAAAATCTTCTATCTCGAGTTCCTCCGTGCTTCGGAAGGCACGTTAAGCCGTTGGTCCCGGCTGCATCTGCAGTCGTTAGCACCCGCCAATCCACACTGGGCCCGCGTGGTGGGTCATGGCCCAATCTCCCTATTCCATCCATAGGGAAGACCTGTGCCCCAGTAGTGGGGATATTCAAAGGCTGATTGTGATTATGATGATATGTTGTCTTTAATGAGAATCATGCCAGAATCGACACCATTGCCGGATACTGTTTGAAAAGGCGCGCAAATTACCAGACATGTTGAACTCGGCTTAGGCTTTTTTATACAGGAGTAGGATGCTCAATAGAGCACCAGACTACACGATATTTTCTGTAAAAATCTACTCATAGTTGAGATAAGTGTTTGCACGATAATCATAATTATTATGAAAGAAAGTTTTTATTTTCTCTATTTACCTACATTCATGTAATTCCAGCGGCATTTTTGATTTCGTTATTGTAATTTTCCTGAAGCGATACTAGTTAGGAAATCAGCTCTAATACATTGTAATATATATTCGTTGATCTTAAGAAAATATGTTCATCAGAAAAAACCGGTTGGACTTTTTGTTTTTCTTTAGATAAATGAATCATGCAATTGTAATGCTTTAAAAAATATAAATAACATATTCGCCGAGAACATAGTTGCCAAGGAGCTCTTTCTTCCAATTCCATTCAAAGGGAATACATGCCTTCCCTCCACGATGATCATATTGAAAGCCTATGGTGTTCAATTAATAGTGATGATTACATGAACTGACATTTCGTGATTAGTCGTAGAGAAAGTAAGCTAAGCCGCAGTCTTCGTGGAAACAAATTAAATGAGTACTTAATACGGTGTCAGGATTGGCTTTTTCAATTACACCTGTCAGATTCTAATAGCTCTTCATAAAAACGTCAATGAATTAAGAAAATAACTTAAACTATCCACATCTTTTAATGACTTAATTGTAAAGGATATATAAATACTTTCAAACATTTAATAAGAATTATAATTTTACTAATAATACAACAAAGAAGTCATTAATACAAGTGCCCGCTGCTTGTTAGGTATTAATATTTATTCTGAGTGTGACCTTCGTACCCCATTAATCTTCTTACCAAAATGCATCAAAATTGGTTATGTGTGTACCTAAGCGTTACAGACAGTTTTTTTTAGAATTCATAATATTAGTATGAAATAAAAAGTTGAAGATAAAATAAAATAGTGTGCACGGACCACACATCTGTACCCTTAGCACGAACCAATATCGAATTCGTATCGTTTGCGAGTACGAAATGTCAAATGTGTACTGATTTTTAGTTCACGTTCCGTACTTTGTGGCGCTGCTGTTCAACAGCAGCGCCACAAACAAAAGTTTTCATACAAAAATTGACATTGAAATTTCGGACTCGCAAACTATTCGAATTCGATAAAGGTTCGTGCTTAGGGTACTGAAGTGAATTTTCTTTTCTTAAAAAACCTTAATTTTAGGCGGTGTATACCTAAGGCATAGGGGAATGGGGCAGTGCACGCATCACTCATATATATGTATATACATATATATATATTGTCGCATGTGCCGCTCGTGACGCCGAGTTACCCTCCAACTTTCATGCTCGTCGGGAAGAGCTGCGCACGCACGAGACGAGCATCACAGGACTATAAATATATGTGTTTAGGAACACATAATATTTATAGTCCTGTGATGCTCGTGACGCATTTCCGTTTCATCGTTTCCATGAGATCTTTCCATTTACCCCGTCCGAAAATGTCTATTTATACAGTAAGTTGATAATTCATATCGGAACACTAACAATCTGGTAACAACAGAAAGAAAAATTTCCGATATAATTATATCGCACCAATAACAACAAATAAATGTAAGTTTGGAACAGCGGAGGAAGATGACTCAAGGGATAAAACATTTTATTACGATGGGTAAGTAATTTTTGTGTATAAACACATATAAAAATTGTTCTTTCACGTGTCTTGATGACATAGAAAACGATCGCTTATAACAATCACAATGTTTTGTATTTAAAAGATTTTTGCTTTTTAAGTTTGTTTATGAATAATGTAAAAGTATTTGTTGTAAGATCGGAATAAAATAAATAACGAAGGAAGGCTGGCAAATTAAATTAATTAGATAGATAATATTCAAACGACGACAAAAAGCAAAAAAGCAAAATGACACTTTGGTGCTGCTGTAAAAATTAACTTTTTCAGTTTTTGTTTAATGATATTTTTAAGCAGCACTGTGTAATACCGGATTCACACTAAGCGATTTTAGTTGATCAACTGCTAAATTGAACGATAAAAGCTTATAAATTTAAATCGCCTTGTGTGGACCTGGTATAAACGATTTTGATTTTCCACTGTCGATAATTATGTAGGTACTGAATTAACCGCTAGAGATAGCGCGTTGATGTCTTTCGCTCGGTGAAAAGTTTTGCTGTTTTTACCCGACTTGCGACGCAAACTGCACGTGATTACGGGTGCTATCCGAGATGATGAAACAGAATTTAGATACATTTTTCAGGGAAATCTTCTATGTTACTTAGCTATTAGCACTGGGTTCACGTGGTGGATTATAGGCCGTTTCCCTTATGATTATAAAGAATTAAATACATACTAAACGCCTGTGCCCCAGTAGTAGGTGGTAGTAGAGGCATTAATAAGCTGAATACAGACGTTTTCTATTTCATATAACTTTATCATACAGTTGCTGAGTTTGGTGTTGAATTTTGAACAAATTAAAGTGTCGTTTATAAGCTCGTTATATCATAGCAACCTTACAACAAGAAGTTGGTTTAGAAATATATTAAACGTGTAAAATGGAAGTATTTCACAGGGTTACTATTTGGTTGTTATCTCGTGATTTATGATGGTATTTTTGCACCAACTGCTTCCATAAATAGAGTAAAACACAGACCATGGTCAAAGCAGTTATGTAGGAAGGCTAGCAGGAAGAAAAGCCATGAAATAGTCAGTAAATAATTGCGTTATAAATTATAATCGAGGAGCGTGATCTGCTCGGGTTGTACCTGAGTGGAAGTGTTGCTTATTTGCCATGTATGGTTGTGCACAAATCATTTTGTACGTCCGTTCGCAATATCCTGTACTGTAGCTAGTGGAACGTCTTTTGACGGTATTTGAAGCTATAAAGTTTATTGGTCGTTTGTACCCGGAAAGATTTATTTGTACCTTCTAAAAGTACAGTGATTTCGACACCGGTAATTTTTTTGTGTTCTTAAGATTGTGTAGCTTTTTTGAGATCTTCTCTATTTTGTTAAGTGTTGTAGAAATTGCATAGAACAACAAATCAACCAAAAGATGAATGATGATGAAATGGGTATCGTTTTAACACGAGGTTGAGCAAATATTGTCAGAAAGGCGCTTAGTAATACTCGTACAGCGACAACCTGTGGTGACAACGGAATCCAAATAATGGTATATGGACCTTGTCTAGGTATTTAACTTTTAAACTTATATCTAAATAGAAGTTTCTTACCTATTAACTATATCAATATCTAAGTCACAAATGTTAAACAAAGTTAATTCATGGGTGAATACTAAATGTAGGTAATATCTGAAAAACATAATTATCATGTACCGTTGAGCGAAAGTTCATGAAAAAGTGATTACTTTTTTATTATGATACATTGTAAATGTATGTAAACGCAAACAAGATAGCAAGCGGAGAATGAGTTTCTGTAAAAAAAATCAAAGCAAACCTCAGTTCTTCCGAATGTCCATTCGATTGCTACATTGTCGTTGACTCTTTGGAAAGTGTTTGACATGGTGGCTATGAGCATATTCAATACAACAATCACCGATATCACTTCAAAACCTTGAATAAAAATAATAAAGTTTTTTAAATTATATTTATGTTAGGTTTCGCATTCTTTTCAGGATGATGATGTTGACGACGCATCCTGAAAAGGATGGGAAACGTCGAGTTATGTAAAAAAAATCTTATGTTAAATGTAAGTTTTTTCGAATATCTCTAATGTTCATTACATTGAAAACCTATTAGGTATTTACAATAATAAATACACGGAAAAGTCAGTGATAACACGGGAAAATACCTGTATAAATGTGTATGCTATGTTGGCAGAGCACCAAAAGGTGCAGAGACTGTTCAAACTAGAATTTCGATTATATTATTCGTTTGAGAAAATTTTCCAATGCCTGAAGAAAAATTATTCGTCTGTTATAGCATTATAAGTAGAAATTTAAGAGTTATGTTTGTTATCATATAGACCTGACTGAGTAAATCTAAGTATTGGCCAGAATGCCAAGACGCGTTAAGATAGTTGTGCGTCAGGAGCCGTACGATGTCGGATGGCCGAGTGTTATGATTTTAAAAAAAGTAATATTGGTAATTTAAATTGTTAATTTGTTATTTCATCCTTATTTTTGTTATTGCGGGTGACATTTCTTTTGATTGGTTGGTAATTTATCCAGCGGATTTTTTACTGAGAATCCAAAGATCCGCTCTAATATTTTGATATCAAATGACTCACATCCGAAACAGTAGTAGCCAATGAGCTCAGTGTATTGGTGCCGGTTCTCATGGACTTTTTCATAGTTGTTGGGGGTCTTTGTATTGGCCAGCACCACGTCGGCGCTCTCCAGCGGTGCCATACAGAACAATCCCCAGAACAAAGTCTTCAGAGTGTCGGCCAAGCTTGTAAACGAGGACACCTTAACATTTATATTGATAATACTTAACAAATGTTATATAATATTCTTATTTAACTACGATTGGAAGAGGTTAACTGGGAGATATATTTTCATATGTGCAAATATATTGAAAAGGGGGGGAAATATTTTTTCATCCCACCACCTCGGAAAGTGTAATTTTGCGCTTCGAAATCTGGCTGGAAAATTCTATTTTATTCGCTTGAGCGGCAAAGTAGATTTGAATTTAGAACATCACATATAATGAGTACTCAATATAATTGTAAATTCAAAACGTCATTAAACCTATTTAATGTAACCTCTATGGTGCCAAATTTATGATTAGAACTTTTTAAATTGTGAAAAAATTTAAATTTGGAACCTTCTTGGTTTCTTTGTTTTATTTGCGTGCTTCGCGCCATTCTAGTTTTTCACGTTTTATTGCTTAAATATTTTGTCAGTATAAATTGTTTTCTTTTTCATTTTGTCATTTCCTCGCTGAGGTGGGATGAAAAGTTACGTATTGCACTCGAGTGGAAAGATTTTTCACCTTGTGCTCGTTTGTTTCCCTCGCTGACGCTCAGGATTCTAATTTAGAATCACTCGCTGCGCTCGTGATTCAACTTTAGAATCCTTCGCTTGCTCGGTCATCCAAATCGAGCACGCGGTTAAAAAGGAACTTTCCACTCTTGTATAATAAATAACTATTATCACCGTCGGTGGAGGCGATATCGGCATGCTTGTGTCGATCTTTTGCAATCAGTTATTTTTACAACAACGCTTGAACTTTAGCTGTCAAATCTCTAGTTTTAATCGCTAATGCAATCCAAGTGAGCGACCAGTTTGTGATGCACAACGGTAATACTGATAAAGCAACTACTGGCCACAATCGGGTTGATATTGTATAATTAGAGACCGGTTGCTAAAGATCAGTAATAAGCCCGGATTACTGGGAATGGAAATGAGGGTGGACAGTACAAATAAAGGGATTTGTACTTTAAAGAAACAATCACTAGCTTTAATTTAAAACGCGAAAGGAAACTAACATTTCAAATTCAACCGCTATGGCCTATTGTAATAATAATACCACAATAATTTAGTCTCAAGGAAACCACGTACACTTATAAAGTTTTCAGTACAATGAGAATATTAAAGAATATATATTATAATGTCAAACCTTCATTTCAAAAATCAACATTACAGAGACAAGGCGTAACACAGAAAACACTATAAAAGAGAAATTCTATTCCCATTGCGAATTATAGTTACTTACCTGAACAGTTTTCACTCCAAATTCGTCTTCGTAAACCATGCCATCGTAATATTGGTAGAGACGAGCCAAACCGGTGGCAAATGCACTTATGATTATTGTGAACACAATTATGTACTTGTAAATGTCTATCGTCATTTTTCCCAAAGATACCTTTAGAGAAAGTAAAAAAGTAAGTACGAGTAAAGGCTTTATAATCTTTACCTGCGCATTTGTGAAGAGAACGTTGTAATGTAACTGATTACTTTCGTAGTGTTTTCGACATATGAAATTGCTTGTGAAAATAGCTTATTATGATAAATGAATGAAATAAAGTTAGTACATTTGCGTAGTGCTCTACGTCTTTGTGCTACAGTATATTAATTGATTCAGCAATGATCACGGAAAGGCGATTCAATAGGCTGGTTTAACGATAAAATCATTATTTTAATTTAGAATATTCCACTTAAAAAGCATTGTAGTTTATTTGATTGTTCATTCATTTGAACTATGCATAGCAGCTGTTCATATTCAAATCGGCCAACGGGTTACGCATCCAATTTTCTGCGGAGTACAATGCTAAATTATTCGGACCGCTTCAACTATCTTAACGAGGACGTTCGCAGCGCTTGTTGTATTGCAATGCCAATGTACCTGGAGGGGCCCTAGATGGTAGTTCAACTGACACAAGAACATTAGTCGGAAGTAGGCAAATATTGTAGCTAGACAGAACGTGCCTTCGGCTAGCAGCGTTGGGTCATGTTGGTCCCAATATTTGCGTTCTGCAAAATCAATAAGACCTTATTGGATTCTAAATAATGAAAAGCACTGTTGAAAATAAACAACAAAACATAATATACTTAAAAAAAGTTGAATTGTCAAATAACGGTAATGCTTATTAGTAATAACTACTTATTACTGGGGCACGGAGTTATGTCTAATGAACAAATTCAAATTGGGGAACATTCACCTCGTTATTAGTGATGGTAGGCGGTATTAATTAGTGCATATTAAAAAAGTAGCACCAAATTTCGAGTAATTTATTGGTAAGCCTATCCGATCTGATAGTTGCTTATCCTTTCCAACTGATAAACCAAAGAGCTATTTGAATTTCTCATTGTGTTAGTACAGTCCAAAGTTTTTGGCCAAATTAATCTACACACTTGCGGAAGGATTGTGAAAATCTTATGAAGTTAGTATGAATATGTAGAGCCATTATTGATTATTGCGTGATAGAACTTCAAAATAAATGTACTACGGGTTGTTAATATGAGTGTTGTTTGCTACTCAACAAAATGATATCTAAGATATCGTTCCTTAATAATAAGTAGAATCTTACAAACATGAACAGAGTTTAAGACACCTTTTAAATAGTTACCTAAATCGTCACCAGAATTGGCCACTTCGAAGGCAGCAGCAACCCATAGGACAAACGAAATACCAAAGAGTGCTAACATGATGAGCTCCGCCCAGTTCCACATGGCTGTAAAGTACCTGCGCGGGCCCTGCATCACACACATGCGGATTGCTGACCACGTGTAGCCGCACACGTACAGTATCAATGGACCTTCTGCTCCTGTTCAATGAGAGAATTTAGATATCATATTATTTAAAGGTTTTATTTACTTTCGAGAATATAGAGTTTACAAAACCTCAACGATGACGCTAGTTCGTTCGAAGTGTGTAAGTGTAGCGTTCTGTTATATATGAATGACGTTCTCGTTAAAAAGTGAGACTGTTATTATTTTATTTTCCAACAACAACGAATATCTTTCTGGGTCGTTGTATTGAAAAAAACTAGCTAAATCTTATAGGTACCATCTCCGCCCTTGTCGAAACAGCAAAATAGTCTTAGGATGTAGAATTGATGATATATCAATTAAAATATAAATGATAAATGAAAAATCATTTCGATTCAGCGCCTCGTAATTAATTTTGCCAGCACACGGAGAAATATCTAGTTAAATTGCAAATTAATCTGCTTGTAAACATAAAAACCTATTATGAGTTTCTAAATTTTTGCACGGATAACATTTCGACCTTGTTATTTCGGAGAAATTCTCTACTTATGGTCATTCTAAATGAAGAATCCGGCTACTGGCTGTTAAGTTGCTGATTATTTATTGATATAATCTCGTAGAATAATCACATGGCCAACATGTGAACGTTAATAAAGCGCGAACCTGTATCCGGCGGCCCGCGTCTCTGTTCAGTTTTATCTCGATTCGAGATGTGGAAGACTAGACCCAGAAATACTATGTACGCTGAAGTGTGAGTAATAAGTTTGTTCAACGGGATCTGCCAGTGCGTAACGAGGCTGTGCCGAGGCAGCACCTGCAAATAGCCTAATTAGTCGAGCGTTGCGTCATTCAAAGCACTATGACTGTGTACTTAAGCGTAATTCAAAGCTCCGGTACTGTTACTACTTGATTGCCTTAAGGTTATGGTTGTTAAGGCCAGTTTCTAATTAGTGATCGTATTTTGTTTCCTCCTTAAACAATATAATTATGGGAAACAATAAGTACCATACACATGAGAAGAATAATAGGCGTCAGAAATATACGAGTGAGAACGGTCCATACTTTGGATATCAGAGATTTGTGCTTCCAGTAATACCAGTTTCCCAACCAGTAGGATTCCAGAACCTGAAAATTTATTTTATTAATTTTCTGATTTGAATGAAAGTTATGGAAAGCGTCAGTTGAATTTAACATTTCTATGGATGACAAAGCACATTTAGTTATAAATAGACTGAGCTGAATAAAAGTCACATATACGAGTATGTATATATCTCTAAAATATTATTTACAGATTTTAAAGATTTTGACATATGATTAAGTGATATGTATAATAAATTCATTTATTTATTGCTTATATTAATTTTAATATTTTTTACAAGTTGTTCGCTAATTTTGACTATTAATTTGATATATCGCGTCGCTTTTACCTGCTGTGTATTTGGGTGGGCGACGAATTCCTTTTGCTTGTAATTTACTGCCATTAGCAAGCGAGGCAAAACGAAATGCCGCTGCCCATGACAACCTGAGGTTTGTTTAAGTACTAATTCTACTTCTTCAGACGTACGGCAGCAACCTAAAAGAAATTCACTTTTAACCACATCTTCCCCATAGATAAGAATGAATATGAATTAAAGAAATTTTCGCTAATAATAATTTCCATAATAATGATATAGTACCTATTTACGCTTAACTCACTCAAATAAAATAATTAGATATTAATAAATAATAAATAAATATTTCTAACACACACCAATTAGCCTAGCCCCAAAGTAAGCACAGTAAGGCTTGTGTTAGAGATACTAGGGTAACGGATAGAATACATATATAAGCAAATTTATATAGAAATAAGTCATATTAAACATCCATGACTAGAGTACAAATGCTCGTATTCATCACACAAACATATGCCCCCACCGGGATTCGAACCCGAGATCTCTCGAGTTGACGACACCATGAAACCCGGCGTACAAACCACTCGGCCACGGAGGTCGTCATATTATATATTGGCATATTTATAGTCAGATAAATCTTATTTTATTTAAATCGAGATTCAGCAAAATTGCTGCAAATGGACCTTATTCAGATTGCTGGCGTATTTCATAAACCCTATAGACAGTGGTATTTTTTTCACAGAATTATGTATAATAAATATATTTTCGCTTTAAAATAAAATAAAAAATTAAAGGGCTCGGTTAACTTCGACAGACGCACTATATCAAAGAAAAAAAATCCCTTCGGCGTTATTATTCTAAGCCTTCGTGGCAGTCTGCATGGTCACACAAGAAACACTCAAATTAACTGAACATTTAAACAATCGTTTATTAGTATAATGCTGATCTATAACTAATCACTATACGGCATAAATGTTTAGGTGTTCATCATAGAATGTATTAAAACCAACATTTTTACTTTAGTAGGTACCGCAGTAACAATAAAGATTATAAAACATAATCAATAAAATAAATAGTTATTAAATGAAATAAGCCATTTATATAGAAGTAACAAATTTTTTGAAAGCTAGAAAATAATTACTGCCATCTACATTCACATCGCAGTCTTGCGATCACAGCGTTTGAAAAGACCTAGAAACGTCAAGAACTTAAAATTGATTAAAGCCACATATAGGCGCTTTATTATCGCTTGATAATCTCTGATGCGTTATTGTGATATTTCGTCATATTTCTATTCCGTAGTTATAATCGCAGCAGTGTGTAACTTCGTAGCCGTCCTAATACTTACATAATGTACTGAAAACATAAATCGCAATAATGCATTTGATACTGGTGCCAATTCTGACGTGATTCTCTAATCTTAAAACTAAATTTAACATCAGTCTCTCCTTTTCATTCGGTATAGAGAATGACAAGGATATACTGCTGTCAAATTTAATTTTAGGTTTAGAGAATCATGCTAGAATCGACACCATTATCGACCAATAATGGTGTCGATTCTGGCGTGATTCTCTAAACTTAAAACTAAATTTAATATCAGTTTCTCCTTTTCATTCTGTATAGAGAATGACAAGAAGAATCGACACGAATAACGTGCCTATGTGATTGATGTCTAAAAGCGCGTCACACCCGTGCAAAGCGTATTAAACGACTTATCTCTGTTAAAATATAAGAAAGAAGTATGTAACCTATTAATTCGACAGCGAATGAACTGACGTCATCCTTGAGCCGCAGGTAGGCTGCAGATAGTTGTCTGTTGGCCGCAGCGTTTTCTATTAACTCTTCTGCTATTCGAAGGGCCGTCAGAATGGGATCAGTGGATACGTGCACGATGTAGGCAGGTGATGAGACGGCGCGGTATATTGACAATCGCGTCATGCTTGTGTATAAAGGATCTTCTTTCATCAAGGACTTTCTAAGAATGCAGAGATATTATTACAGCGTAAAGGCCTAGGAAAAGTGCATTTGCTATGTGTATTTTTAGTGTAAAAATAATCTAAGTCAATGTAACAAGTATGTGCTTTCGGGATTTTATCTGTAATAGGAAAATGTAAATATATTTTACAATTTAAACTGAATCAACGCCAAATTATGGTATTGAGCTGGTTGGTACCTGATATATTTATACTACATACTTGTTTATTCCTACCTAAGGCGGAAGAATTATGGAAAACTTTTAAATTTTGAAATAAGGGATATTTAAGAAAGCTAACAGACACATACATTCAATGTTATAATCAAATAACTTCAAAAGGGAAGCGGTTCCCAATTCGACTTACAGATTAACATGGAAGGGAACTCACAGCGACATAATACTATTTTCATCCCACCACCTCGGAAAGTGTAATTTTGCGCTTCGAAATCTGGCTGGAAAATTCTATTTTATTCGCTTGAGCGGCAAAGTAGATTTGAATTTAGAACATCACATATAATGAGTACTCAATATAATTGTAAATTCAAAACGTCATTAAACCTATTTAATGTAACCTCTATGGTGCCAAATTTATGATTAGAACTTTTTAAATTGTGAAAAAATTTAAATTTGGAACCTTCTTGGTTTCTTTGTTTTATTTGCGTGCTTCGCGCCATTCTAGTTTTTCACGTTTTATTGCTTAATATAATTAACATAACCTAAAAACTGTACAAAAAAATCAACTAAAATGAGTGACATTAGCGACGATGAAGTTTATCTAACGCCAACTGAGTTAACTGAAACAGTTAATAATGCGCAAATGAGCCTTCTCCCTCAGCAATCACGAGAGAAGTATTTGAAACAGTACGATATATTTAACATGTGGCGACTAGCTAAAGGAGCAAAAACTTTCTCCGAAAACGTTTTGCTGGCATATTTTATAGAATTATCTGAGACCAAGAAAGCAAGCACGCTATGGAGTACGTATTCAATGCTAAAATTAACAATTAAGATGAAGAAAGACTTTCATATCGACACCTATCATAAATTAGTGGCATTTTTAAAAAGAGCCTCATCTGGTTATAAACCAAAAAAATCGAAGGTTTTCACAGCATCTGAAATTGCAAAGTTTATTAATGAAGCACCTGATTCCGTATATTTAGCGGCAAAAGTAAGTCAATACGTGTAATTTTTTGTTGTTGATAAAATTGTACATAGTACTTACAATATTTTTAATTTGATTAATTTATTTACGATTATAAATACTTCTTTTGTTACAGGTTGTTCTTATTATTGGTATAACCGGAGCATGTCGAACAAATGAACTTACACTACTTAATGTCAATAACGTATCAAAATATTCTCATAATTCTGATGAATTGCTATTAATTAATGTACTAAATACCAAGACAAAAAAAGACCGCAACTTCGTTATTCGCAAGGAATATGTAAACATTGTTCAGAAATATCAAGCTTTACGTCCTTCTAACACCCCAATTGAACGATTTTTTCTACAATATCGCAACGGAAAGTGTATCCGACAACCTATGGGTCAGAATAAAATTGGCAGTATTCCACGAGAAATAGCAACTTTTCTCGGACTTTTAGAACCCCCGTTATACACCGGTCACTGTTTTAGAAGAACCTCAGCCACACTTTTGGCCGAATCAGGGGCTGATCTTCTATCGCTTAAGCGCCATGGAGGCTGGAAGTCTAATTCGGTTGTAGAGGGATACATAGAGGATTCAATCCAAAGTAAATCAAAAATTTGTAATAGTATCGTGGAGGCCATAACGCTGAAAGAACCTCTGTCAGATTCTTGGTCTCGCCCTTCTACATCTAAAATGAGCCCCCATAAGATTGGAAACAATAGCCCTCTCTCGCCAACATTTACGCCAATAGAATCCAATGAATCGGCACAACTATTTAAAATTACTGATACGAGTAGTTTACCACAAAACAGCGCACAATTCACAAACACCAACATAACATTACCTAACAAAAATATTAAACTTAACATAAGTAACTGTAGCAACGTTACATTTAATATTTCTTAATTATTTTCTACTTCTTATTATTTTCTTCAATTTATAGATTATCTTAATGTGTTTTAATTGAAATAAAAATATTTTGTCATTATAAATTGTTTTCTTTTTCATTTTGTCATTTCCTCGCTGAGGTGGGATGAAAAGTTACGTATTGCACTCGAGTGGAAAGATTTTTCACCTTGTGCTCGTTTGTTTCCCTCGCTGACGCTCAGGATTCTAATTTAGAATCACTCGCTGCGCTCGTGATTCAACTTTAGAATCCTTCGCTTGCTCGGTCATCCAAATCGAGCACGCGGTTAAAAAGGAACTTTCCACTCTTGTATAATAAATAACTATTAAATCATTCTATCTTTTTTCGGGGGGAATATGCATACAAATGCAGTTTAACGTTGTTTCGTAAAAAACAAAACTTTATAATATATATCGTTGACAAACTGTAATTACGACATTTACACATAAACAGTTCCCCTCTGCGCTCGCAAAACACCGGAATCATCTCATGACAAATCGATAATTAAGTTTGATAGTTTTCCAATTGGGCATGTAGGTAAGTTATCCGTTTAGAATGATTATGCTCGAAACTATATTCCGTGTGCTATTTTAATATAAAATTTGTTGAAGTCATTCTCCCCCCTAAAAAATCTAAAGGAGATTGCTCAGCTTCCATACATGTTTGGCCTAAAAACCAATAACCATGAAAAATTGTTTCCTACATTCGAAATTATATATAAATTACCGTAGAAACGAATATTATCGACGGCCACTCCTGAGAACTTCTATAAACCATATACACTGAATGATTTTGAGGTTATGTTTGCAAATAGGCACATAGGTATTAGAATAATAAAAACCAAATAACTTATATAGGAAAATAGGGCAATCAAGCCAAGTACCTACCGATATTATGTATTAGATTCAGGTATATAGAGCATGTAAAATAACAGATATGTGCATGTTTTTAAAAACACGAACAGAAACTGTGTGATGATTGTGAATGAGCCACAGATTAGAGAGAATTTTTAAACTCTCGTTAATCAAAGAAAGCTAAGAGCTGTAGGTTATACAGCCATATCTTCAGCAGCTTCATTATTTTTGTTATGTTTTTATTATAACCATATTTTAGATTTTTAGTGTATCACACCTTATAATGTGTTTATTTAGGTGTTTGGCAAAAAATGTACGGCAATAGACTTTATGATGTCGCCTACCATCTATATTAATTGTCTTAGCACATTTGCATGTAGTAAAAATGATAATAAAGTTGTGGATATTAATACCACCCGTGTAATAAAAAAAATATATATTTTATCAATCTTTACAAAATAGATTTGTTTTGATGTTATATAAACAACCTCGATCAGTCTTTGTGAATGTTACTACACCCATAGCCAATAAAAATGATTCGTATGTTTTCCAAACCGGTAAAAATAGAAGTCCTCTTTTAAAATTAATATATTATTTAAAGGTGGCCGTTAAAATCTAATGACTGTAAAATAAAGTATAAATTACGCCAAGAATTACTATATATGTCAATATTTTATTTGCATTTAGGCCAATTTGACCAATCTCCTTTACTTAACTGCTGTAATTTGTAATTCCATATCGGAATTAAGTTGTAGAGATTATTTCTATTTCGCTGTGACAAGCCTTTGAAATATTTATTTCTGCGTCTCCATTTAAAAGGAAATAAAAATGTTCATAGTTGGATACGGATCAGGCTAGACGTGCCTGACATGAGGTAACTGATACAAATCAGGCCTGTAGTGCAGAAAAGTCTATTAAAATATATTTATACCAAAAATACTTTACACACGCATAGACAACAGTTCTACAACTCGGCAATCTGTGCACGAGCGGTCTGCTCGAGCTCATAGCGTCATTAATGGCGGTACTTTGTGAAGGACGAGCGTCGTCATAGCGCGTTATTAATTTGTCGTAATTTTAATACGTTATTTTTTTAAGTTTTGTTTCATGTAATGTATACGGGTCACAATATAAGTAATCAAAAAGTTAACTATGACTTTACATTGAAATTTTTAGAATATGTGAATTTAATACTGGTTATAACTTTTATGAAGCATGATGTACAAAATAAAGCCTAATTTTATAATTGTCCTTATTTTTAACAAATACATCTATTAATATATATTCATTTTCCAATATTTAATAATATTTTTGAGCAGATATGTTAATTTGTTTATTTTTGTTTTGTATTGATATTTTTTATATTATGCTAGCAAAATATTTAGTAAAATAACTTAAAACGTTGTTCAAGGATCCCATGGAAACACTTGATTAAATTCTCAGAAATACATTTTTAATATAATTTATACTGTAATAACAATATACCTATAATTTATGTATATAAGCTTTGTTAAGTCCACTAAGTTTTTAAAAGGCCTAAGGGTAAGGTTCCAGAAGAGATTTCTGATAATAGATCGTAATATGTTTTCTTAATTACTTAAAATTTATGAACCAAAGAATAATGCCTTGCTTTTATTTATTACCTTCTTCAAATAATTTATCATGATATGAGTGTTTGAAATTAGGAAGGCCTTATGTGTATGCAGCGGAAGATATACCATACCAGAGACGCAGATGCACTCACGTACTTACCTCTAGATATCTAGCTATCCGGATAACATCTACCAACGTACAGATCGTTTGTGCTTCAGTATAATTATGTCTACATGTTTATAGAGATAATCATGTATGAATACTTAATTACGGATTCAATGTTTATAAATAAATATACATACAATAATGTTTAGTCAAAAAATACTGTTGATGAAATCATATTTCCTGAAATTTTGCCTGTATCAAGCTAGATTCGAAGCAGCATTAGGCTACGAATCAATGTAAGCGAGACCTTACCCAATATTGCTTATATAAAATATTTCCAAATATTCTTTGGGATAATTGCCAAAGAATTAAGTGACGATCACATATACTTTTCTTGTACCAGTTACCAATTCAAGTACGGTTTCCATTAAATGTATAGTTGTACACTAGTATAACTATACATATACTTAACTCAAGCACAAGCATTATCGCCGTGAATTGTACTTGTCCCGATTTTTAACAACTTTATGATACTTTTTGGAACAGGAAATCACCAACAAAGAAAACAAGGGTCACCATCATAACCTTTGCAAAAAGACTAACTTGCACGTCACGCAAAGACAATTAGGTGGATGCGGCCTCGCTATGGTGTGTCCGCGGGAGTGTAATAGCGCCACAATCTCGTGGTGGCCGCAATGCGCTGCCAGTAACAATGGCGTTACGTGCCCGGGAAATTCGGCCGAGTGAGATGCCCCCGCGAATTCCAGCCCAGGGGATAGCTTTCGTTGCGCTTCTAACAGCATCACTGCGCAAAATAAATATACTGCGGTTGGTGGCGAAAAATATATTAGGCAACTCGTCATGTGTATGATCAATTCATTAATTACTTAGTTGGTTTACTTTGAATTGGAGCATTCGCTCCAATCTGTATGGGTGAATGATGCGAGATATACAGTTGTAGGTATATACTAGTACTTAAAACTTCTTTACATGAACTGGTTACATTTTCTCTCCATAAATGTATTGTGGATGGTGAATTGCAGAATTTAATCATCCAACAAAATAAATAAAATAATGATGTTTACCTACCACCATATTTTCATATAAGTATGGAAAAACTGAAACTATTTTATTTATACTAAAATTAGGTTCTGTCAGTGTTTTCGACTAACTAAAACAAATAAAAAGTGAAATCGACGCAAATTTTATACTTTTTACCCAAAACGCCGACACTGTTATCTCGCACGGCCTGCAATATAGTGTCACCGATATCTATACGAGGCTGCTCCAGCAACAATTCGACCATCTGCACGGCATTCTTTCGCACTGCGACGTGAAGTGCCGTCATGCCCTACATACATAATGTATTCAATCATTACCAAATATAGGAATTACTATATCGTATTAAAGTTCGTGTTCAAAGAAAGTTGATAAATACACTTAACCTGAAAATTAACACAATTGACATTCAATTCGGAATGTTCGTCCAGATAAGTTTGTAGGTCATTGATGTTATTTTCGGCGACTAATTGGAAGAACTTGATTTCTGTTGCATTCAGTTTTGGTAGATGTATTCCATTTTCATTAACATTATCCTCATTTAGCTGGAATTAAAGCGTTATTTATTTCTTTTATAGGTTGAACTAAAATAATCTGGAACGATTGTATTTCTAACATACAAAATAAATGGCAAGTCTCTCCCAACTTTTTATTATATAATTTTAGTGCTAGAAAGTAGATTTTGAAAACTATCAAAAACTCAAGTATTTTGTATTGCCCAAGAGACAATAATCGCAATAAAAATTAAATTGAATTACAAAACCCTCCAAGGATCCCAAAACAAATAAATAGAAGAAAAGATTAAAACGCATTACTTATTAAAAAAGAACAATCTAATATTTGATAGTAGGTATAGTGTAGTTACCCTGTTTAAAGGATAATATTCTTCGTTTTTACTAGCTTTTGATTTATAAGGGGGCCTATCTTCACTAATATGTTCGTAATAAGACGGTATCTGAAAACATTCATGATATTAGAAGAAAAAGAATAAGAGAAATTGTAGTTTATTTTAAATAAATCATAGGCAGGTTACGACAATATTAATGTTTATTATTTTTTTTAACTAAGACCAGAAAACTCTGTGTTCAAGAGTACAGTCCCGCTTCAATCCGAACACACACGCAACTTCTAAGCATTGTAGGAATGTATCAATAAAATTAACGTATAAGTAAGACAAACATTGATTCATTCAGTTTTTTAGAGTTCTGTATCCAAAAGGTGACCACGGAAACTCCGCCTGTCTGTCAGCAGACTTTGAGCGGCCATACACGTTACAATGGTCGCACGCACCGTCGCGCGGACTTCGGTCGTATGCGACAAGTTCGGTCGAAGAGCGGACTGAACGACCAAGGTCATATGGCCGGTCCGTTGAAATATTTACGGTTCGATCGACGTTCTGTGCGACTGTTTCAACGTGAATGGCGCCTTTAAGTCATGCAGTGTAGTAGATTGACTATATACCTGCTGCCTCTACAACAACAATAATAAAAAGATCTGGCTTTACCCTAAGCTACGTCTATGATTTTAAATAAATAATTAGTACAAACCAATCTTTCCCTGTGTAGAAGTCTCCTGTCTTCATTGGGAGTGCTTGGCAAACTGACATTCTGTATGGAATCAGTTTGGTTGGACTTGGATGATCTCATTGCTTGGTCACGAGAAAATAACAGCTATAAACAATTTAAAAAACGCTTAGTTTGGGATAGGGAGCCCACACAATTGGGTGGGGCTAAACTGTGCTGTTCAAATATGGTAAAGATTTGCCAAATCTGGTTGATATAGTGGGTTGAAAGTTATTATTACTTACATTTTAAAGTTTCACGATGATTCTATTTTTGACCATATATATGCTAAATAAATATAGGTTAAGCTACCTTCGCAATGCAGGTCATTAGATAGGTGATCTTAACTTCTGTGCTTAGTAGGCATGTTAAGCTGTTGCTCTCAATCGCATCGGATCTACGTAAGTACCCGTCAACTGGGCGCTCGTGGTAGGTTATGACTCGTACTCCCTATTTGTTTCTTTCCTTATGATGGCCCGTGCCCCAGCAATATATTTGGCTAATGCTAATGATAAGAATTTGTATTTTCATAGCGTTGTATTTTGTACTGGGTCTCGTTTCACGTAAGCAAATTAAACATTATTGTCATAAATAAAACTTAAAGGCATTTAGTAGAAAACATATTGTTTTATCATCATTTTTTTAGATTTATACTAAAATTTTTTTCAAATAAATACATGGATCTAAGAATGAAAGGCTTTTCCATAATTTAGGTACTACAAATATAAATTATTTTGTTATAGGCTAAACTGAAAGAACATACTTACGTAGTGAATGAAACCTTCGTGCTTTTGCTATTCTACATTATTCTCAAAGCAATTTGTAGATTCCACTGTAGGTAATAACGTCAAATATTTTGTAGCAACTTAAACAGTAATAAACTTATGTTTAAATTATTCCACGAGATAAATTGATATTGCACGAGCCCGAGTTAAGAAAGTTGTCTTCTATGGTCCACTAGTTACCTCACATTAATTTCATTAATTTGACCTGTGTTTGACGTATGTTTATAGTGATTTTTCTCTTGATTTTTAAGTGTTTACTTTTTCTGTAAGTTTAACTTGTTTACGAAGTGCAATCCATGGACCTAGGATTTCGAGAACCTAACAACTAATCATCGACAGACAAGAATATACAGTGTCACAAAACGCTTTATAATATTTTGAGTATTACCGGATTCTTATTTCTTGTTATCTTATCAATTCAGAATTCTTGTGATCTTATCAATAAACTTTATCGATAAAATAGCATGAAAATATCGATTGAAACCTAACTGGTTTATGAAATAAGGGTAACCTGTAGTTATTGCTCCTGTTTGGAGCATTGTAATTATGATTGTAATATATAATGAAGTGAAAGTAAGATTAATTTTTAAACATGATTATAGATAATAAATAAAACAAATGAGTTTTCTAATAGCATTTATATTTATTAATTTAATTTAAAGATTTGTAAAAAACTAAAGTTTATTGTTTTTAACTTTTCTGTAGCAAGAACTACTTCTATAGTTTATATTAAATCAGCATTCACTTTTAATACTACCTCAATTTTTCGCTAATCCAATTAAATTGGAACTGTTTATGATAGTGTCGATTTAAGTAAATTACCCTTTGTTGTACATGGTGTACAAAAGGGCGAAATACGAATAAGACCTCGTCAGTATCTGCAAAAGAGAAAATGGGCTTAAATGTGTTGATAATTATAATGACGATAAAAAACACAGTTCACGAAAAATAACTTACTGCCGAATAAGTTACGAGAGTTATGTTAGTAAAACCCATTGCTGTAAACGCAATAGGTTTTTGTGCCCTGTAATAAAATAACATAGAAGTTAAATATGTGCTGTTCAGCAATTTTGATCATATTGTGTATACGTTTAAGAATTACTGTGTCGATTATAATTCAATTATATTTTTAACAGTAGCATGTATTAAAAGTATACTGTAAGTGTACCTAAAATAAATTATTATGAAAAAAAAGCACTTAGTAAAACTTAGATTCTCGATGCGGGTGGTAGGTTCAACGCATTGAAGACAACCTATCGTGGAGACCTAGCTAATTTAGTTCATTATTAGTAAAACAATTTATTCTGACAATTTTATCGCGGATTTTAAAGGAACAAGCTCTTGAGTTTCGGAAACTACTGTTAATAAAAGATTCCCGAATAATAACTTTATAGCCAATGCCAATTAGTCTTTCATTGTATTTTGTTTGGGTGTTACAAACACATTTATTGATGTGATCTTTTTGGTACAGAAGGCCGCGTGGTTTCCAATAATAACTCCCTTGGTTGTTTCATTCAAAGTCAAACTTGAGTATAGTAAATGTATTTTTTTTATTTGGCTCACAAAACTAGTGACAAAGATTATAATCCATGTAAATATATGCATACTAAGAAAACATCAGCTACTTTGCAACTAGTTTACTAGATGCAAGCACAACATGCATTTCTAATACTACCTAACTACTAAGGATAGTATATATAGGTTAAACTTAATACCTAAAAAAAAAAGTTAAAGTTAAGACTAAAATAGAACTTAATCAAAGAATTATCTGGTTGAGGCTATAGAACCTTTAAATATGTCGAAATCATTTCGAATAGTATTATAGGTTGAAAATATTCTATAAAGAAGAGAGTGATTCCCGAGTCTTGTCTTGCAGGGGGGCAGTACAAAAGTCTTTCGATTTTGCAGCCGGCTATTATTTCTAGGTACTGAAATTTTTTTATGCTCTAAAATATCTGGTGCATCGATGTGAACAAACCCTCGCGACGCAGGTAATTGCGTGGTGCATTCGGCCAGCGTCGAGCAGCCTGAGGGCTACTAGTTGGTGCAGGTATACTTTGACGTGCGCTCACGCAAGCGTGGCAGATCTCAAACCACCCCGCCTCTGACTAGCAACCTAGCCCGCACCCGCTTTAGTCGATCCTGGGCTTCTCCATTCACAGCGTCACCTGACTGAGTATCACGGACTGCAGTCCGAGCGGCTAGCCAGCCGACCTGCTCCCGTCCTTCCAGGTAAACCAATTCATCGATCTACCTCATCTCACCCTCCAGGCGTAACTGCGGGATCCAGTTATGAGTCACGCTTAGCCTGTATTTATCGTAACAAATACTAACCTAAAATACCCAGTTGCAAAATTAAATGAAGGAAGGATCTTATAATTCTTACCGAATGAATTACAGACTAATGAATTTTGACCAACTCACAATAAGTTAGGTTAAGTTAGTGTTGTAACCTAAACTAAACGCGAGCCGAGCGAGCAAAGCGATCATGCTGCGGTTGCGGCCGGCAAAGCGCCAGCCACCTCAATAATACATAAACAAAACAAGGGAAAGTCGACGCGCTATCTTCTCTTACGCACACATTGTCGACTGCGCATTTGGCATTGTATTTATCGTAACAAAACCTTACCTAAAATACCCAGTTGCAAATTAAATGAAGGAAGGATCTTATAATTCTTACCGAATGAATTACAGACTAATGAACTTTAACCAACTCACAATGGGTTAGGTTAAGTTAGTGTTGTAACCTAAATTAAACGCGAGCAGAGCGAGCAAAGCGATCATGCCGCGGTTGCGGCCGGCAAAGCGCCAGCCACCTTATAGATAATACATAAACAAAACAAGGCAAAGTCGACGCGCTATCTTCTCTTACACACATTGTCGACTGCGCATTTGGCATTGTATAGAATACCTATAGACCAGGGTCGATAATTTTTGAGACCAAAAAAAATTATAGTAGGATGAAACCCATTAGAAAAGGTAGAGAATATAACAAAAATGAAAGGAAAAATAAATTACGGGCGATCTGATGTCGGGAAGGGGGAGGGGGTGAGTTTTTAAGGGTAAAAAATGGTTAATCTCGATTTCCGGTAAAACTGCAAGTCCTATGAAAAAAAATTAAATGGCAAAGTTGTAGGTAATAAAAAGATCTACAACTTTTGTATCGACACTTTTTTCACATAACCTCAAAATTTATGAGAAAAATGCGAATAACCGAGTTTTTGGTTTTTGATTTTTATTTATTGCAAAAAAAAAAAATTTTTTTCACGAAATTTGGTGAAAACTTACCTTTGTATGTCCCATACATACAGTAATTTTTTTGATTTAAATATTCATTTTTTCACCTTATTTTGACTTAATATCCAAAAAGCACCCTTATTTTCAATCGAAAATTCTCACGTCAAAATATCAGATTTTTTAAAAAAGTTGGGGTGTTTTTTGTTTGTTGAAATCTCTACTTTCTGATGGTATAAAAAAAATATACACTACTATGGTAAATGTTCTCAGAAACTGCAAATTAATAATGAAAAAAACTCCAATCCGAAAAATTGATTTGAATCATTATGTATAATTTTGAACTATTTATTAAAATTTACACTTTAATTACTCGAAAAACGTAAGATTTCATGTTATATTGATAAACAGAAAAATTACAAATCCATAAAACATGCAAAAATAGTTGTTGTAAGTAGGTATTAAAAAAAGGTTTTTTGGATACGAGTTTTTTTCATTATTAATTTGCATTTTCTGAGAACATTTATCATAGTAGTGTATATTTTTTTATACCATCAGAAAGTAGAGATTTCAGCAAACAAAAACCACCCCAACTTTTTTAAAAAAGCAGATATTATGACGTGAGAATTTTCGATTGAAAATTAGGGTGCTTTTTGGATATTAAGTCAAAATAAGGTGAAAAAATGAATATTTTAAATCAAAAAAATTACTGTATGTTTGGGACATACAAAGGTAAGTTTTCACCAAATTTCGTGAAAAAAAATTTTTTTTTGCAAAAAATAAAAATCAAAAACCAAAAACTCGGTTATTCGCATTTTTCACATAATTTTTGAGGTTATGTGAAAAAAGTGTCGATACAAAAGTTGTAGATCTTTTTATTACCTACAACTTTGCCATGTAATTTTTTTTCATAGGACTTGCAATTTACCGGAATTTCGTTTTACCGGAAATCGAGATTAACCATTTTTTACCTTTAAAAAGTCACCCCCTGCCCCTTCCCGACCTCAGATCGCCCGTAATTTATTTTTCCTTTCATTTTTGTTATATCCTCTACCTTTTCTAATGGGTTTCATCCTACTATATTTTTTTTTCACTTTTCACCATTTTTAAAGTTATCGACCCTGGTCTACTAGGCAAAGTATAAAATGAACAATATTTTATACATTGCCTTGACGTTTTTTGCATTATATATATTGCCAAGATATTGTATGGAATGCCGAATTATACAGATTGCCGGTAACATATATTACACAAAGGTGTAAAGATTTCAGCGTCCATACCTCTGTATGACGAACAGTATTGCACGACGACAGCGTGGACTAGTGTGATACCAGCCGCTGTTGTAAGCCGCCGCTGAGACTTTGAGGTTCTGTAAGTTCATATATGAAATCATTCAATCAATCATTTTTGTATATTTATATTATTCATGCAATGAATACTATGCATCGTTTATATACATTATTAACATTAGCCTATTAATGTCCCCACTGCTGGGGCACAGGCCTTCCCTGTGCATGGAATAGGTAGATTGGGCTATTACCCACCACGCGGGCCCAGTGCGGATTGGCGGGTGCTAACGACTGCAGATGCAGCCGGGAACAACGGCTTAACGTGCCTTCCGAAGCATGGAGGAACTCGACATGAAAGATTTTTGGTCACGCATCCAATGACCGACCACTGCGAAAGTTGATTAACTTCAACGATGGCAGTCGAACGCGCTAACCACCTGCGCCATCGAGCTCTTCAAATTATATACATACATACTGATATTAAATTTCATTTTACTCAAATGACATTGTATTTTGGGAATAAAGAAAACAAAAATTAAAAATTTGTTTATTAATACACGTTATGCACTATGAGTGAGTGTGAATAAATTGAATCAAATAAAATTCAGTTCTTGAAGTGAAACTTCTTTACGCACGCTTGACTTGGCTTACCCCAGCTGGGGAATACTTACGAAAAGTGTGTTCGGGAGGGGGGAACGGGAGTTGAGTGGGGGATATAAGCAAGAGAAAGCAGTGCGCGCACATTTTCTTTCTCTCTTTCTCTTATAGCTAGTAAATGAAATATGTATATGTGCATACATGTATATATTGTATATATATTTATATATACATACAGTTGGAGCTGAAAAAGTTTCACTTAAGTCGTGTGGTCATAAGCACACTCGTTTTTTTTATTCTTAGCAATCAACAACTTTTTTTTATATTATAAGGTTCATACGAGCTGATGGCTCACCTGAGGCCCAGGCACGAATTTTAATAGTTCCTTTATCGTATCGTTATCGTCTTGTTTGGAAAAAACTAGTTTGTTCTTAAGTCGTTGGTTAGTTTTCATAGAAACTTAGACGCTGCGATATGATTATGGAGATGTCAAAATTCGTGTTTGGGCCTCTAATGGTAAGTGATAGTTTTTATTCCCCCATAGTTTTTATTTATTTTTTATTATTATAGTTTCACAAACAGCTATACATGCATTCTTGAAATGGGGCAATATGGCATTGTGTACAAGTCTTACATGAATGAAGCCAATAACAGCAAAAACACAAAATTAAACAGGAAAGTTATTGAACTGTCCAAAAAGAAGAATTAACTATTCTTACATAACATTAAAAAAGTTGCAGTGATTTGGATGTATACAATTAAAATCAATAAATTCAATACTAAATTGAACAAGAAAATGAAAATTAATTAATTTATTGACTGAGAATAACATGTCAAATAATTTACGAATTTATCATATCATCCAATGTATTTCAGAATCTTATTTTAATATGCTTTATGGTTATCATTAAAATGTCAGGTTCGAGCATTTATTTGTTTATCTTATTACTTATATCCTGGAAACAATCTGGACACGGGCTGATGAAGACCCAAGTTAGTTCTGCTGCTAGGCAAATGAAAAAGCTTAGAGCATGGATGACGAAGATACTAGCGAGGGACCCTGATACATTTTTTTTTCCCTAGAAGATTGCTAAATTTTTTTATGCCTCGCATAACTTTAAAGAGAACTGGCAGGTCAGACACAGCACGACGATCATGCAAAGAGGTTAACTTAAAAAGGGCGAGTCTCTGATCGTGGCGGTTTATTCCAGGTGAGATAAAAGCTAAATACATTTTGTTTAAAAGCTTAATTGTTGTAAATTTCAATTAGATAAACTTAAAAGAAGTGTAAATAAAGAAGTTTTAAAATCACAAGTTACCGCTTGAAAGATGTCATCAGCATACCAACACAACATTCCGATTTGAATGAGCACTGAGCCCAGAAACAGTTTATTGCTGACATTCAGAAATGGTTCCAGTAGCTGTAATGTAAAATCATGACTAAATAAAACAGTTTTTAAGCTACTTCAAAGTGAACAAGGTTTTGAATTCATTAGTAGTTTTCTTATTGCTGTCTACACATAACATAACTCCGTATTTATTGTTTCTTTTTTGTTTTCTTTCGGAATAAATCCATTTTCAATCATTACTTAGTGATTCGAACTCCCTAATTACAAACTGTACAGACACTTTTTTCTGTCATTATTTTTGAAAATATAAAAGAGAAAATGTTAATTAAGTATACTGCTCTCACTCTCTCTATGCGCTGCCTTATAAAAAGAATGAAAAAAAAAACATTTTTAGCGAAGTTACCAAGTAATGTACATATAACTACTAAAAGTTAAGTAAATTTATTCTTATCTTTTACTTAATCTAACGTATGCTTAAAGTTTAAATAAAAAAAATACAATATTTGGAGTCGGTGCGTGCGTGCCTGTCAAGTAGATACCAGTTGGAGTTTACTTGAGTTTGCACCGAAAACTTAAATACCTTCCTAAATTACCTTCTTGATGGAATTTTACTTAAAAAGCGGTGACCAAAGTGCAAATATAAAAGTTGAAAATTGTAAGTTAAATAAAAGCGCGGAAACTCTGAATCAAGGTGTGTTTAACAGTATATGTGAGTGAGATCGGTTGTAAGTTTCTAGGCTCGGATTATGGTAAAAAATAGTTTTAAGTTTGATGTATTGATCAATGATATAAGAGATTGGTTATACTTACAACAATAACGAATACAACACAGCAGATGTTGATGGAGCTAAGAACAACATTCACTAGATTTGACAGAGAAAATGCCGATTCCAAGTCATTACAGTACCTAGAAAAAAGAACTGTTATGCACAAATCATAAACATGTTAATAGGGATGTTGACGGAAATAAGTAAATGAAAATCAATTTAGTCCGTCAGTTAGATTATTAAAAAGTAATGGATACTTATTTTATCTTTTGTCATTCCAAAAATCTATTTTATCTTTTGTCACCTGTTTAGAAAAAAATGACTAAAGGTGTGACGTCACGCGCCATTACAAATTAAAATATCTCTGTTATGTATGGATTATGTGAAAAAAGGAAAGGAAACGTCTCCAATACTTTATGATAATCTACCTGATACTTAGACAAATAAAAAAAAGTTGTAAGAAAACGTCCAGATCGGACCAGTGAAATATTTCTAATAAGATTTTCTAACAAATTTCGGTTCCTTGTAGCCTACGGCTAGAGAAAATTCGACACTGCCAGCAGGGCCGCAGTAGCATAATTATCAGTGCATTTGCCCGGATAGCGAAGGGTGCGGGTTCGAGTCCCGTCTGATGTCTCATCTGCGTGGAATTTTTTATAGCAAAATTTTCTTTAGACTTATATTTAGGTTCTTTTTCTATTTTTTTTTTATCAAGATTTCGTTGTTAATTGTTAATACTTTTTTTTTATTATTATTATTATTTTAAATTTCTACATAAATGCGCAATAAAACAACACGGTTACATTCTGAACATGACTTATCTCCAGTAATGATGTCAGACGTTGCAACTGACGATGAAATGAACTCAACGTTTTTCGACGCAACTATGATGGACATTAACAGTCATACAATAAATACTGAAAATATTTGTATTGATGACAATAAATGGGAACTAAATATCTGTAATGAAAGATTGAAGAGTGCCAAGAATGAGATTGAAAAGCTGTATAATGAAATTCATTCACTAAAACAAACATTAACAAAAAAAGATTTGATGATAGAATCATTAAAAAAAATAGTTAAAGACTTTAAGCCTCAGCATAAACAGTTCCTAACACCACAGATCAAAAAGCTTGGGGGACAAAGCCGAGCGCGTCCGTGGGCTTTAGCTCTAGATACCCATACGTGTCCCCTGGGTAGCGCCAAATGCTCGGCACATCACCGGTGGTAGGTTTCGACCGTGGCTGGTAACCACCCTCCAGGCAAAACCGAACCGCAAAGCGACTCTCATCGTGTTCCGGCTCGATGCCTGGTGTTGCCGTTTTGGGGGGGAGGGGGGGGGAGTCCGAGCAGTTGCGATGTAGAGCTTGCCGGCTTCGGTGATTGCTGCGCTGAGTGGCTGATCGCGGAGGGTAGCGGGATCCAAAGCACGGTTCTCCGGTTCTCCGCTGGCCGACCGCAGGTAGTAGGGGGCCCAAGTAGTAGGAAAGCCACCTACGAAAGGCTGCCCCGCCAACTCGCGAAAAATCCCAGGGTGCGCCATCGTGCCGGTTGGCGACCGGATGCGAGGGCCCGATGGACACCTTTGGGGGGGTTAGGGCGTCCCCGCGCGCTCCAGCTTAGTCACCCGTCAGTGTGGCGTCATAACTGCATCGCTTGGCAGTAGCTTAGCAGAGTCTCGCTCATCTGTCCCCTTCCTGCCTGTTCACTCTCTTCTTAAAATTATGAAAGCTAAAAGAAAGAAACTGGCGAAACAGCGGATGCACTCCCTCGCACTAAAAGTGCACCTTGCTAACATCCGAGGATTGCACTCAAATATCGATAGTGTCCATCACCACCTTGAGACCGATAAGCCACATCTGCTGTTCCTCACGGAGACTCAAATAAGATGCCCGACTGACGCAGCTTACTTGCATTACCCAGGTTACATCCTGGAGCACAATTTTCGCGCGCGGGCACCTGCGTGTATGCTCGTGATGACATCTGCTGCCAACGTCTCCGCAACTTTGAGGATCCCAGTTTCTCTACATTATGGGTGCTGGTGAACACAGGTATAGAGCAAATACTCTATGCCAGTGTTTATCGGTCGCACACAGAGAACATGGAGACAACCAGGTTTTTTCAGTACCTCAGCGCCTCCGCTGAAACAGGCCAGCAAAGGTACCCGAGTGCGCAGCTAGTCGTTCTGGGGGACTTTAACACTCACCACCATGAGTGGTTGTTCCCGTTCCAGAAAACCGACTATGCCGGGAGATTGGCGCACACATTTGCTATGTCGCTAGGTCTCTCCCAACTTGTGAAGGGCGCTACACGTGTACCCGATATTGATGGCCACACACCGAACTGCCTGGACCTTCTGCTGTCAACAGACCCGGACCGTTATCAGGTGGTAATTTCGTCTCCACTAGGGAGTTCTGACCACTGTCTGGTGAAGTCCGTATCAGTTTACTCTCCAAACGACCCGGAACCTATCGGAACTAGGCGTGTATGGCGATATGGTTCAGCAGACTGGGATGAGATGCGCCATTTCTTTGCATCTTATCCTTGGCGTCGCACTTGCTTTTCTTCGGACGACCCGACTTGCTGCGCGGATGCCATTGCTGACGTGATGCGTCAGGCTATGGAGTACTTTATTCCATATTCTGACGTACTACGCCGGTTTAGCGCCCGCCCTTGGTTTGACGCGGACTGTGCTAAAGCGGAGGCGCTTAAGCATTTTGCGTATCGCTCCTGGGCGGATGCTCGAGCCCGCAAATCACCAAATGTTCGAAGTCTGAAGAAAGCCTTTAACAGTGCCGCCAAGTCCTGTAAAGGTGTTCTCCGCAAGGCCCGCTTCGATCACAGTGGCCGTATAGGAGCCAAATTAGCCTCCTTTCCATCCGGAAGCAAAGCTTTCTGGTCCCTAGCCAAGACAGTCGAAGCCAATTTTTGCCGATCGTCGCTGCCGCCTTTAATTAAGCCTGACGGATCGCTTGCTCACACCTCCAAAGAGAAGGCTGACTTGTTTGCCTCCATATTTGCGAACAACTCACAAATAGATGCTGCTGGCGTAAACCCACCTAAGCTTCCTCAGTGTTCTTCTACCATGTTGGAAGTTCGCATCCATCAGAAAGAGGTACTCAAAGCGCTAAGCACTCTAGACGTGAATAAAGCCAGTGGGCCGGATGGCATTCCAGCTATTGTCCTGCGGAATTGTGCCCCTGAGTTGTCTCCTATTCTGACTCGCCTGTACCGCTTATCCCTTGCGATTGGCCAAGTTCCGAAAACCTGGAAGCTTGCCAATGTCCAACCAGTACCCAAAAAGGGTAGTCGTGCCGACCCTGCCAACTATCGACCTATTGCAATCACCTCCATACTCTGTAAGATTATGGAGCGTGTATTGAACAACCGTCTCCTCGCTTACCTCGCTTATAACGATCTCCTCAGTGACTGCCAATTTGGTTTCCGCCGTGGGCGATCTACTGGGGATCTTCTTGTTTATGCTACCCACTTATGGAGTGAAGCCTTAGAGAAACGCGGCGAAGCTCTCGCCGTTTCTCTTGATATTTCTAAGGCTTTTGACAGGGTCTGGCATGCAAGTCTCATTGGCAAGCTTCCTTCATATGGAATCGCTGTCGGACTTTGCAACTGGATTGTAGATTTTCTGGGGGGCAGATCGATACAAGTGGTCATTAATGGCACATCGTCGGATCTGCTTGGTATTAATGCTGGTGTCCCCCAGGGATCTGTCCTCTCCGCAACTCTATTCTTGCTGCACATCAATGATCTGCTCCTAACTCCCGGTATCTTTGGGTATGCAGACGACAGCACAGTTTCGGAGAGATATCTGCCGGATGTGAAGTCTGATGCAGATGTCCGATCATTAAGGGAGGCGATGGTGGAGGGAGTGAATGCAGCCCTGGAAGCTGTTTCCCTCTGGGGTGAAGCCAACTTGGTTGGATTTAATCCCTCAAAAACACAGGCCTGTCTCTTCTCGACGAAACGGAGTCCATTCCATCTGACTCCGACTTTCCGAAATGTCTCCGTGCCGGTTAAAGACCATCTCGAGCTCTTAGGTATGGACATCTCATCCAGCCTCAATTTCGGTCCCTACATCGAGTCCATTGCTAAAACCACCGCCAGAAAACTTGGAATACTTTCTAAGGTCAGGCGATATTTTAAATCTGAGCAGCTCCTTAACCTTTACCGAGCCCAAGTTCGCTCCTGCTTGGAGTACTGTTGTCACCTTTGGGACGGATCTGCTCGGTATCAGCTGGATGCACTGGTCTCGGTGGAACACCGTGCGAAGAGACTCATAGGCAATGACGCTCTCGTTGAGGGTAATCTCCAGAGCCTTGACCACCGAAGACGTGTAGCTTGCCTCTCGGCGTTTTATCGGTTACATTTCGGAGAGTGTGCGGAGGTATTACATAATTTGATTCCCCTTTCCACCACCGGACGACCAGGCGCGGCGAGGGCTTCCACCCTTATGTTGTCGAATTTCCTCCCATTCGCACGAAGCGATTTGCTTCGGCCTTCATTATGCGAACGGCTAGGGAGTGGAACTCCTTGCCGAGGTCTGTTTTCCCGGACCAATATAATCTGGACATCTTCAAGGCCAGAGTGAACAGGCATCTTCTAGGCAGGCGTGTACCATCCTAGGCCTCATCATCACTTTCCATCAGGTGAGATTGTGGTCAAACGCATTGCCTATTTTGCATAAAAAAAGCTATTAAACATAAAAATGGGATTGTCAAGGATGTCTCCATTAACTAATAGTAGGAATATATGTAGAAATATTTACACAACACCTACACGACATATAGGAAATATTGAATACAGCGATATCGATAGTCAATTTACTTGCTATGATACATCTATCGGGGAAAAACTCCGAAATTGCGAAAGGGAACAACTGAAACAGAAAAATAAACATCTAGAAGAATTCAAGATAAGAAAAAAAGTAATGATTTTGGCAGATCAACAGGGAAGAAATTTAAGGAAAATATTACAAAAATCTTTAGGAACAGAGTATGAAGTGTTCTCTTTCTGGAAATCTGGAGCTAAATTTAATGAAATATTGGTACCAGCTGTTAATGAAATATTGAAATTAACTAAAAATGATTTTGTAATTTTGATTGGAGGAACTAATGAAAATAATCCCTATGTTTCTCAAAGCTCGTTTAATAATGTATTGTATTCTCTAACAAATACAAATATAATAATGACTGAAGTTCCCTATAACAAAAAAGTATATGAAGTTAAACTTAATCGTGAACTTAGGTACATATGTAGTAGGCAAAATAATGTATCATTTGTCGACTTGATGTATAGCACTAATGTTCCAAAAGGATACTTTTTCACTGTTAACCTGTGTCGCTGGTTGCTCAGAGAGGTGTTGCGATTGAATTATAGAAAAATGCTGGAAAGCCCTTCTGTTTTAAATTATAAGAATGTCGTCCAATCAAAAAAATGTGAAAGTAAATGCACTCAAACAGATTCTAATTTAACTATATCATCTTTACATGAAGTTGACCAAATTACTGCACGCCAAATAACTAATCATATCAATAATAGTAATAATAATAATAACAATTTTTTTCGTGTTTGACTACATTTAATATTAATATATTAATATTTCTACATATATTTACTTCATCAGAATATAGATGGTTTGATGGAAAAATCAGACAGGCTTTGTGTAGGCCTTTCTGAACTAGCTGAGTCTGGAAGAGATATTGACATAATTTGTATCACAGAGCACAATATGGTAGAAAATGACATTGTGCTGCTTTGTGTGCCTGGTTTTGTAATTGGTGCTTACTTTTGTAGATCTACGAGGTATGGTGGTTCATGCATATTAATTAAACATAATCTCAGGTACAAAGAACTGAAAGATGTAGCAAAGGTAGGTGTTAGCGGAATAATTGAATGCTGTGGTGTGGAATAAATTGATCAAAAAATTATAATCATTTGTTTATATAGACCTCCTCGAACTGATGCGAATAGGATAAGTATTTTTCTTAATAAATTTAATGAGATTTTGCATATGTTACGTGTATGCGTTAAGGACAATCACAAGATTATTATATGTGGTGATTTTAATATCGATGTTTTGACTAAGGATAAATTGACTACAAGTTTTACCGATTTAATTTATAGTTATGGTTTAAATATTAGTATTAGTAAACCGACGCGCCCTTCTAGTGGGAAGTGCTTAGACAACTTTATACATAATATTAAGCGTAACAGTAGAGGCGAAACCTTTGAACTGACTTTATCAGATCATAATGCACAAATTTTTAAATGTCCTGTTGCAAAAACCTGTAGATTTCCGTTCTAGTACATTAAACGGCGTAATTACGATAAAGAAAATATAAAAAAATTTCGAGACTGTATTATCCAATCTTAGTTTTAACAATGTTTTTGAAACTGACAATCCTAATAAAGCTTTCAATATTTTTTATGAAACTTTTAAATTGTACTACGATCTCTGTTTCCCGATAAGAGTAATAAAAATTTCTACAAGCACAAAACCGAAATGGGTAACAAAGGGAATCAAAGTGTGTAGTAAGCGAATACGCGACCTATTGCATAATTACAGGAAAAATCCTAATAGTCTGAATAAAAAGAGATTAAAAGATTACACTAAGCGGTTTAATAAAATTGTCAAACTTACTCAAAAATTGCAAAACACTTATTTTATTAATGATTCTAGAAATAAATCAAAAGCAACATGGCAAGTTATTAATAAAGCAAAAAGAAACTTACCTAAAGAGGAAATAAGACAAATAATAGTAGATGACAATGTAATTACTGATCCTAATGTTATTGCTGATAATTTTAATGACTTCTTTATCTATCACAAACTGACATCAGATAATATTAGCTTGGACAAAACTTTGACATATAATAGCAGCCATTCATTATTTATGACTCCGGTAATTCCTCATGATATATTTAATATTATAAAATCACTTCGTACTACGAATAGTTCTGGTAATGAAGACATTAATACAAACATTTTAAAATGCGTGAATGATATTATATCACCGATTATTGCAGATATTGTAAATTATAGCATTGAGAACGGTATTTTCCCAGATAACTTAAAAGTAACAATAATAAAACCACTCTACAAAAGAGGTGATAGAGATAACATGTCTAATTACAGACCTATAGCATTGGTATCTGTTTTGTCCAAGGTGTTTGAAAAAGTAATATATGAAAAACTATACTCATACTTTGAGAATAATAACTTGCTAGCTCAAGAACAGCACGGATTTCGTAAAAATAAAAGTATTAATATGGCAATATCTGAATTTGTATATAAAATTATTTCTTGTATGGACTCGGGTAAGCAGGTTATGGGCTTGTACATGGATATGATAAAGGCATTTAATTTGGTAGATTTTAATATACTATTTGACAAATTGTATAAATATGGTGTGCGGGGAAATATTCTTGAGCTTATAAAATCCAACCTTAGTGATAGACAGGTTATAACTCAAATCGACAGACTTTGCTATAAAACCAAATTTGAAAAGTCATATACATCTTCATTAAGGAAAACAGTTTGTGGTGTCCCACAGGGTAGCGTATTTGGACCATTATTTTTTAATGTATATATAAATGATTTTCCTAAATGCATACAAAGTCCAATGATCATGTTTGCAGATGATAGTACTATAATATTTGAATGTAAAAATGAAAATGATTATGAACTTTCAATAAATAATGACTTTGATAAAATTATGAAATGGATGAAAAATAATAAGTTAACTGTTAATTTGGACAAAACAAAATCGATGACGTTTAAACAAAGAGAAAGCAAGAAGATTATTGAAGTAAAAATAGAGCACTTGGGAAAAAAGTAGAAGAAGTAAATACTACGAAATTTCTTGGAATATACATTGATAATAATATGACATGGGAAACTCATTGTAATTATGTATGTGAGAAGCTAAGTAAATTTTCTTATGCCTTGTATATGCTTAATAAAATAGCTGACCGTTCTGCACTAATGACAGCTTATCATGGATACGTTGCGTCAATACTGAGATATGGCATATTTTTTTGGGGAAATTCTAGTAGTAAAGACAGAGACAGAGACAAAAAAGATGTGTGAGAGCAATAAGTCGACTTCGCCCTACAGACTCTGGTTATCCTCTTTTTATTAAAGAATTAAATATTTTGACTGTACCTTGTTTATATATATTTGAAGTATGTGTCTTTGTTAAAATGAATCTAAAATTATTTTACAATATGTTTACATCTAAAAGACACAATGACAAGTTGTGTCAAAAACCTCATAAAACTGCTTTGTTTGGAAATAGTTTATATGGCGTTGCTCCGATAGTATATAACAAGCTACCACAAGATATAAGACAAATCGATAATGTGATAAAATATAAAGTGACCCTAAAAAGTTTTTAGTAAATAAAGCTTATTATACACTAAAGGAATATTTAAGTGATGCTGAAATTTAAATTATTATTATGTCCTTAAGTTTATGAACAAGATTGATTAATATATTGTTTGACATTGAGATTATTATATTGTTTGACAATGATAATGTGAATTTGTTTATATTATGCTCAATGAATGGAATAATTGTAATAAGTTTTTTTTTCTCGACATGTCAATTAATTTGCACACCCCATTGGATAAGAATATAGGATGCTCTTTATCTCTGTATCACCATTTGTAACCATATTCTGCAAATAAAGATTATTATTATTATTATTATTTTATGACCTGATGAGTCTCTGATGCAGCTTGATGTTAGCGGAGATTTCGTCAAACTGCTCATGTTCTGTTTTATTTGTAGTTGCCAGTGCCTCTAGTCGCCGATGCAGCAATCGTAACAAAAGACTGATGTGGCTGGCCATACTGGAGAACAGCAGGTCTGTGCTCACCATAATAAAAACGCTTACTTGTCCTAAAATAAAACCCCGTTAAGTGTATGTTACGTATCTAGTAATAATAATTTAGTTCATAGGGATCCTACCAATATTATGAATGTGAAAGTTTGTATGTTTGTTATTCAATCACGCAAACGCAACTGAACGGATTTAGATTAAATTTAGCACACATATAGATCATTACCAGGATGGAGATATAGGATATTTTTTATCCAGAATAAAATATGTTTTCCTGAAGGATTCAAAAATAACTAAAATCGCATCTAGTCCGCGCATCCGGAATGCTTTCTAAAGGGCAGTTTAAATAATCAAGCTTCAGTAAGAGGTAGAACTATTAGAGCTTTGTCGCCTAGATATTTCATTCATTTAGCCAAAGGTTGCCTGGTAGAGATTGCTGCCTTGTCAATAAGGCCGCCTTTTGTGTTTGCTTTTCTGTATTTTATGTACTTTGTGTAATAAAGAATATTCATTCATTCATTATTTTTAGTATTTAGAATGTAATAGCAACTGTTGCTAAGAAACAGAACCAGATTATCCTTAACTTTAACTGGAGGTTTATCATTGAAACTGGCCGTTGGTCAACTCCCTAACTGTCAAATAAGCTATTTTTTTCAATTCCTTTTCCTCTCCCTTCTATTCTATTCTTTGAATAAAAAAATAAATAGTGGTTTACTTATGTAAACAGCTATATTCGTACAAAATTGGCTCGTGGTACTGAATACCGTTGAGCAAACACAGTATAGTGGTTGCTGTTCCTTTTTTTTATGTCTGGAAAATGCCTTACGCCTCCATCAACTACCAAGGGAGCGAGAAGAAGGTATTTGGGACTCCTCCCAGCTCATTTCAGCTAGCTCTGGGGCTTGATGAAATAAGCAGGGCCCTACCTAACGCCCTGCACAGGGCCAGTATAAAACCAGACAATACTCCTGCACCGGTCACCAGGCATACATGCTGAGGACCGAGGTCCCCCCAATGCATGCCGGGAGTGCGAGTGTGGTATTGGCATGCGATTGCCAACTGGCCGTGCACCCGCAACGTGATTGTCCGTACACGGACCTACCCCGATGTAGATGCCCCAGAGCAGGTGTTCCTGTTACTGTACCAAAGAGTCGAATAACTGAAGCCCCAAGCGTTACTTGGATTACTTACTTACCTTACTGAAGATAGTTAATTACATGTACTACACAAGTAATTTCGGTATTATATGGAAATAAACAGCTTTTGTTGTCGAATAAATAAACCGCCTTGTTAGGTATTACCAAGAAATATAACGATCTAATTTTCATTGTTATCTAGAATTAGTGTTATTCACTACAGTATAATAATCTCATCATTCGGAGGCGCTCGAAAAACACTAGAATCAAATAGCAAAGTGGAATAATTACTGCTTAGCACATTGTTAAAGTCAACAGTTATTTTGGGTGGTGATGACAGTTGTTTTAGTTAATTGCATATTATTTACTTTCACTGCATCTGTGCTAATAAAACAAACATTTGGTTCAGTATGTTTAAAATACTGTCTATAGGCATTATAAGAGTGTGCGTGTTGATAATTACAATATATCTGCGAGTACATAATTTGGGAACGTTATGTAGGATTTGTTATATTTGATTCTTTAATTAAGCGAGTTCGCTATTCATAGTTTCTGATTCTATTGTACTAAAATGTAAATTGTAGTTAGTACATACATATTTTAAGTATGAATTATGTTTTTGCTTTCTGGCATGCTGAATTATGGATGTGCTTCTATTGATGCAGAAAACGATTGTCACTATTTTTAAAAATTAAACTTACGTACCTGCAAACATCTCAAAAATATAGACAGCAAAATGCGCGTAAGGCATGTGTTTGTCAAAAGGATACCAGGAAACCCACACGTAACCCATCTCCACATCCAGTCCTTGCCATTTCCGGTAGAAGTATATGCCGATCGGCGTCAAGTTGTAAAACCAAACACCTAAAACATTAACGGCGAAGTACCCTAGAAATGACATTGATTGATTTAAATTTGACCTGTTCCTGGATAATTTCTAAAACAGTGCAAGCCATAATATTTAGAGTTTCGTAACCGAATGGTAAAAACGGGGTATAATGATGATAGATAGACAGTTGAAATTTTCACAGATTATGTATTTCTGTTGACACTAAAACAACAAATACTATAAACAGAATAAAATAAATATTTCATTGGGTCCCTCATACAACAAACTCGGTCTTTTTGCCGATTTTTACTCGATATTAATAACCGCATTAGGTAAACGCTTGAAATATTCACAGAATATCTAGCAGTAAGAATATTCACTTTAAAAATAAATAATTAAAATAAAAGATATATTTAAGGGCCCCATACAACAGCCGTGTTGTTTTTGTCGTTTTTGCTCTATATTATAATATACTGTCTAATGGTACTGAACCTTTCGTGCACGCGTCCGACTCGCACTTGGCCGATTCTTTTTAAATACTTACCTATAGCAAAAACATCGTTCAACTGCTCAGTTGGGTGTAATATCATTGCTGATAGTACAATAAAAAGAGCTAAACTATAAGAATAAAGTTGGTGGTCTGAAACATGATAACCAATGCATTGTGAGTAGCATAGCAATTATGTGATTAAATAAACGCTACAGAGTGATTTTGTTTTTTGATCGTGCAAATGTAAAATATCCTGAATATTTTACATAAAATACAGAATATAAAACGAGCTGCTGGGCAAGATATCTACTAATGATATGCTTACATCGATGGGTCATACGCAAAGCAGCTAAGCTTTTATTTTTGGTAGATTGGCCATCATCATCCAGTGGAGGTAGAGGCCAAATACCTGCCAACTCGAAAATGAGTTGTTTGAATACATTTTTCTTGTACCACAAGACGAATAACTTGGTAATACCTAAAAAAAGTTTTCATTCTGTTAATTTTATTTTAGATTTTATAGCTAAATACTGCGAGATATAATGTATAACTCAGCGTAGTTACGGAATAGAATAGGGCATTAGGCTAGGGCGGCAAAAATATAAAAAATGGGAAAAATCAAACAGGATGAAATTCATTCCAAAAGGAAGAGAAACGAAGAAAAAGGAGAAGGTCAAAAGAAGATGAAAAACCTTTTCAGAGAGGTAAACTCATTGAAAAACTTTGGTCTCCCTCTATCCCTCCTGACCTCAAATCGCCCGTAAATTATATTAGTTTTTTGCGTAATCTTCCTTTTGAAATGAGTTTTATCATGTTCTGAATTTTTTCGTTCTTAAATATTATCGGCCCTGGCCTAAATGGATTAAGGTGATCTTATTAAAAGGTGGTATCCGTAGGTGGAGTTAAGGATATTTTTTGCCTAAGTTCCAAAACTAAAAATCATTAGTTGCGGATACTATTAGTACTGATGAATGTAACAATGTTGGAAATTACTTAGGGAATAACAGATTTATAAAACTTACTGAGGGCTCCGTAGCCAAAAGTGTGAAAAAGTGGTACAACGTCTTCAACTCGGGGTGACTTGGTCAAAGTCAAGCATATGTAAGCGATCTCGCTAAACACATGATAGCAGATTCCCCACACAGACAACACGAACATCAATTTCTGACGTACATTAGCAATATTACTTTTGGGACTCTCAAAAGAAATACCAATGCGTTCCATGCAAAAAGTGTTAAGACTCAGTGACTCTGCTATTTCTCTTTTTGCTTCTTCCGACATTTTTGACCTTAATCTTCGCAGAACTAATGCAAGTGGGTTAAAACAAAAATGTTTTTACATTTCCATTCAATGCAATGTTTTACTTTTACTGAATATGTATAATTAAATAAAACACGTTTACTTATTTAGGCCTCACAAATAAGAATCAAAGTGAGGAAGGTGGGATATTATTTGAGAAATTGGTTTATGAATGTTTTATGAATTAGTACTTATTAATTAAAATAATAAGGCTACAATAAGTATGTAGTCCGTAAATGACTTGTTAAAACTTTACTCTTTCACCGCGATGTTGATTATAATTTAAACGAAGCAATGGTACCAAAGTATCTATTATCACGTAAAAGTTTTTAACTAGCAAAGTGAGAACGCTTTCAATATTGTATGTGATTTGATTAAAACTTGAACTATAAATTGATTCCATAAATATTGTATTAGGTTCGACTTTAAACGGAGTTACGGATTGTGTCAAAAAGTTCCTAGTGTAAGGCTAATTTACATGAAATGGCAAACTTAATAAAAAAAAACACAAAAATAATATCTCTTCGTTATCCACATAGTAAATGGAATCTGGTGACCATTTAAAAGTAATCGAGTTAATCTAATGAATTATGTTGTCAAAGGAATATGTTTTTTCCCGTAAGTGTTGTGTGAAACAATTAATTCAATACATTCAAGACTGCAACGGGTTCCTTTGAGCTTAAGCTTCTTACTCAATATGGAGAATATGAAATTTATTAACTGTACCGTGGTGAGATCAGTCTCATAGGTTGCATAGCGTGCTTCAATTGAATCGATACAAAGCTCCGCATAGTTGCGGTACTGTTGCGTAGTTACAAACACGCGAAGCGTTTAATTAATGCGCAATAGCTGAGAAACAGAGATATTTCTTAGGTGTTGGATAAAAATGCTATTAATAAAGTGTGATGTCATCATAAAAAATAAAAAAGAGATTGAAATGCCAAATGAAAGCAAAATTGTAAATGACTGTACAATTCTTACTTTAAATCTAATTTGTGTAGATAGTATAATATATTTTTATTGACTATAGGAGCTCGATGGCGCAGATGGATAGCGCGTTCGGCTGCGATCGTTGAAGTTAAGCAACTTGTACAATGGTCGGTCATTGGATGGGTGACCAAAAATCTCCTGAACAAGGTGCGGCGTTTTTTTCACGCCCGCTGAACTGTGCTTGTTGTACAAAACGCAAGTGCGGTCCTGTGTGGAATATTGCTCGCACCACTGGGATGGCTCCGCCAAGTACTTGCTCGATGCTTTGGATAGGTTACAGCGGCGTGCGATCCGCATCATAGACGATGAGGAGGTGACTTAACACCTTGAGCCTCTTCAATTACGCCGTGACGTTGCACTAAGCGCGTTCTATCGTCTGTACCGCGGCGAGTGTTCTGAGGAGTTATTCTCTCTTATCCCACCTTCCCCTTTCCTTCAGAGGACCACGCGCGCTGACCTACGTTGTCACCATCTAACTGTGGCCACAATTCCAACACGTACAAAGAAATTTGGAGACTCATTTCTTTGTCGCACTATCCGTTAATGGAATGCTCTACTCGGGATCCTTTAAAAGAAGCGTGAAGAAGCAACATAATAATAATATAATAATAATAATAAATATATCTTTATTCAAATAAGGTCATACATTGCATAATAATACTAATAACAATATAAAGTACAAAATAATGGATGCCTGAAGTAGGTTACAGTTAAAATTGTACCTGTATTTCAGGCTTTTATGATTTAAATAATACATTGAATGATTAATAAATTAACAAATTAATTAAAACAGAACTTAAAGTAATCGTTATATAAAATGTTGGTAAATGTAAATTATGGAGTTACGTTCATTTATTTACAAATAAGAAGTAATTCTTCGGTCTGCTCGTATGTCAGGCTATGCAAATAATTAAATACTACAGTTCTACAGTTAAAATAGTTTAATGTATAAATACCTAATACTCTATTTAACTTATTATATAAGAAAGGACTTAGGAAAGTAGAGAATCTATGTGAAAAGATGTATTTTGAATCATGTGTAGAGATGCAGACTATATCTTTCCGTCTTTTGTTAGTGATATCAGAGCAAAAAGGTGAAATGGTGTGTTGTTTTAATATGGTGTGCATAATGAAAAGCTGGCGAACAGTTAACACATTACAGTATTTGTAAAGTTGATGCGTAGGATATAAGAAGGGAAGTGAATTGGCTACTTTTAAAATGGCTCTCTGAGCTCGCTCGAGAGGGATTAAAATAGTTTTGAGAGCTCCACCCCATGAAGTTATACAATATTGAATTACTGATTGGCATAAGGCCTGATATACCTGTTTAATCAGTTTTGGACCTGCAATGGTACGTAATTTTTTAAAAATATACATTAATTTACGGATCCTGACTACTAGATTTGCAATATGCTGTCTAAAAGATAATGTGTCGTTAATTAAGATACCAAGATATTTTATATGGGATGTGTTCTGTATTAAAGGGCAATCGCATTTATTGACTGAAGGATATTGGCATTGGTGTGCGTATAAGTTAGGATTTGTAAACCCATGACAAGGCTGGCGCATAGAAAAGTGAATATAATTGGTTTTGTCAGTATTCAGTGTTAGTAAATTGCAGCGAAGCCAGTTATTTACACCATTAAGACCAAGTTGAGCTACCTCATATAATTCTGACCTACTATTGGCATACAACATGCAGGCCGGCAGGGTGGGATGGCTGGTGTGGCTGGTAGAACTGTTGTATCAGCTATCTTCGCGTCTGGACTTCACCTTCACTTAACATCAGGTGGGGTGGAGTCATTTGACGGACCTATCTATAAAAAAAAAACTTCTATCTCGAGTTCCTCCGTGCTTTGTAAGGCACGGTAATTTTTGGTCCCGGCTGCTCCTGCAGTCGTTAGCATCCGCCAATCCGCACTGGGCCCGCGTGGTGGGTCATGGCCCAATCTCCCTATTCGTAGGGTATTTCATAGGGTAGGCCTGTGCCCCAGCAGTGGGGACATTAATAGGCTGATGACGATATATTTTTATTGAGTTTAGATATAAATTCATAGAGAACTTTGAAATTCCATTCATATTAAATATGAGTATACATTTTTTGAGTATAAGAAATCTCAACTTTACCTAAATTGTATGCGTATATAATTTCAACGTTATGTATAATGAAACGTCAATATTATTTAAAATTCTCCCTTTTCAGGGAAGGCAAAGGGAACAATGCCCATACAGCCTAGTCTTTAGTTATATTAATCTTCTTTTTTTTTACATTAGAATGTCGGTGTGACGCATTCTAATGTTTCTTGGAATGTTTGGCACGAAATTTATGGAGTTGGCTTTTTCTCTAAGCTTCTGTGAGGTAGTCAACACTATAATAAAGTTCTCGCGTCCACTTGACCGGAATAGCGTACGTATATTTTAAAGATTCCACTAATTCTTCAGTTGCGCAGACGGTTGTAACACCAAATCACACCAATTTTATCTCACAATATCCACTATGAACGAATTTTAGAATAATTAAAATAAGACGCCAACCGCACTCGCAGAAATCCCGCCAAAAACTTCGTATCGTCAATAAGAAAATGGTGTCGATTCTGGCATGATTCTCTAAACCTAAACGTAAATTTGACAACAGTGAGAGATTGATGTTAAATTTAGTTTTAAGTTTAGAGAATCATTCATAACTTTATAGATTTCTAACCAAATTTTTGTTTAAACGTAATTTTTTTATGAAGTCGGCGTCGCTCATTTCAAATGGGCCCTCTTGCTCTCACAACGGCGGCGCCTTAGCACAGCAGCAGCAATCACGTCATTTATTAAATCATTGACGAAAACATGAATCAACTCATCCATCGTTAATATAAACTGGTGTCGATTCTGGTACGATGCTCTAAATCTTATCTATCTTTTAATAAACTTAAACTTGACAACAGTATTTCCTTGTCATCCTCTATACAGAATGAAAAAGAGAGTCTGATGTTAAATTTAGTTTTAAGTTTAGAGAATTACTCCAGAATCGACACCATTGTTTACCTACTTCTTTATTTACTAATTATTTATGAAGGCAGTTAACAACATCTTGAGGTAACAATAATTAGCAATTACACATGACAACACAATAAATAATAGGTAAAAAAGTGGAAATAACAAGATTGACATGCCAAGATCCATAGATATTTATATATCGAATGCTCTTTACCAGCGATGTATGTCTACTGATCATCCGTAGATAAATATCTATTACGACATGGTGAGAATAGGGCAAAAAGGTTTTCCTTCGATAAAAGCCAGATCATTCGATATATATCGAAGGTGATATAATATCTATGCCGCGAGAATTGGGCCAGGGTTTGTCGACTCGGGAACACGATTATTAAAAAAGATTCACTTCAATAATAAATATGTTTTGTTATTGATTAATTATTTAACTAATATTTTACTTATTTATTTAATTAATCAATATTAAATAAATAATAATTGCAAAAAAAATATATTTTTACTGTCCATCTTTGATATAAAATATAACCTCTACTTACGATTTCGTGAAAGGCGCAGTTCGATCACAACACTATCACACCAAAAATTTCTTGATTTAAGTGAATATTTAATTCAGATTGTATAATAATCACAATCAGATGCCATTTTTCTTGTAAATAAACAATGTAATTGGGAACGAAATTGTTTCTCATGTGACTGCGTCATTACTATTGCGGTTGTCAGCGTGTGTTTTCCTCGCTTCTGGTAGATGGCGCGGTCACTGGTACACAGCTAATCGTTAAAAAAACTGTTTTCTCGCGGTCGCAGATATGTGACTGATGCAAAAAATAGATAAAAACAAACCTTGATGCGGATTTTATATCATGTAAAAATTTCAACTCAATCAGTGCAGAACTTTTTGAGTTTTTGAAGCGTACACAAACCAACATAACATTTTGATATATATATACATATACACAGTCAGGTCATAAATTCTGTCACATGTTTAATATAAA